CATAAGTATTGCTGCAGTTAAGTGGTAATGTCTGACTTTAGTTATGATGTTAGCTAATGGTGAGTCTGGTTTTGAAACTAAACCTTTTCCGGCGAAGTCGTCAAACGAGCAGAGTGTTTGAAGGATATTTTTTGAAGGGGTATTTTGAAAGTTTTGATAGAATGTAGTTTGTCAGTCGTTTCATATCGTAAACTCCTGAGTACTGACGTAAGTGGTGTTTGTCAATAATTCTTTCCATATCTCCTCAGAAAGTCTTTTGCATTCCTGACTGTATAAATTTCAACGATGGCATAATATTTCTCTTACGTCGAATGTAACGTTGAAGAAATTCAATGAGTTCGCTATCTGGAACTTTAACGACAGAGGCTTGAACTTTTGACATAAATGTTTTCGCTGTTGAGTCCATAGAGTCTGAAGTTGCTGATATAATGATTTGGTCATAACATGAGTCATTTCCTAAACGTTCTGTTATAAGAATATGACGAATGTGATTAAATGTCTTACCTGAACCCATCTTTCCACAATAGAAATAAACACCATTTGAACAGAACTCATAGTCCTTACTGAAAGGAAGAATGAGAGAACTGTTAAGCTTTTCACTGCTTTCATTCATGTCTTCATCTACGTCATGTATTAAATGCTTCATTTTATCTCCATTAAAAATGCAAGTCAGAAATATTCAGAACATAGCACCGAGTCTAACTGACAAGAGTATAAAGATATACTATGAACACGTTATGATGAAACCTACCAAAATTCAAGAAAGTCAGTATACTTATGAATATCCAAGACACTGGGTAGAGTATGTAGGAGGTGAGAAAGCTATTGAAATCAGACAGGTTCGAAGTATTCCAGCAGGAAGAACAATATTATTGAAGAACTTTAATGTTTTGAGATATAATGATGAAACAAAGAAGCAAGATAGTTTCCCTGTTGCTGTGTATGTGAACTTAGATACAGGAGATGACATGAAAGTTTTTAACACAAAGCTTCAAACGGTAGTGAGAGAACAACTGACTGCGGAAGGGCATCCATTACCTTCAGAAGTTACCATAGCATATAATTTTGAAACAAACTCAATAGATTTTAAAGTCATCTCTGCAAAGAAGTCAGGTTTTACATTTAATGAAGCAGATGTATATTCGAATGAAAACTTCAAAGCTATTGCATGGTTAGATAATGACGATTGCTTTAAGAAAATATTTAAATACAGTGACTCAAAGATGTCAATAGATGACCTTCGTGGAATGTTACCATCGACGTTTACAGTTGAAGGTTCAGCAGGATTGCTTACAAGATTGTCAATTGGTGGTTTGGTCTCGTGAGAACATTGTTATAAAATCCAGTATAAGTGAATTTGCTGAAGAATCTATATTATGTCTTTCAAACTACATGTATTCGCCGCCGAAGCATTATAGTATAACAAACTTTGTCAGTAAGTTTAACATAAGACTTGTCGAACCTTCTTCAATGAAAGATGTTGTGCTACCTAAAGATGGAAAGGATGGACTCATTATTGAGATGATTTTAATAGCATATTAAATGAGCTTGTTCTTGAAGGTCATTCATGATGAAATAATTGTTGTAGAAGATGTTAGCAATTGTTCAGACATTTTGAAGCGTATAGATGATAAGAAAGAAGTTAGATAGACTGCAAAGCGGTGAGGGCGAAGCCCGTGAGAACGCTTATGTTTCATTGACTTTCTCCAGTAACGAGAACTTTTATGAGATAATATTGAAGAGAGATGATTTTAATATGGTGTAAATGGTAGCTTGGGCAGCTTTAGGCGCAATGGGAACAAAAGCATTAGCATTTGGAGCAAAAGCACTTGGAGCTTATGACGCAGTAAATAAAATGAGTGGAGGAAGGGTTTCAAGACATTAGATGCAAATAAAGGAAAGATTGGAGGCTGGGTTGCAAAGAAGTTAAGATTAAATAAAATAGGGCTCATAAATAAAGCATCCAATTTGGTTGCGACTGAGTCAGAAAATGCTTTAGGAAAGGACGATGAGTTTGCAAAACACGCAAAAGACTTTAATGACCAGATGAAAGGTGAAACAATGCATTTAAATAGAGTCGATGGAACTAAAGAAAATGTTTCTTCTCCACCAGTGGTTTATCCATACGGACCTTATGGAATGTATGGAAACCCTTATGAACGACCATTTGACCCATTGACTGGTGGAAGTAATTGGTATCATTATGGACGAAGAAGAAAGACAGTCAAGTTGGAGACAGACGTGAAGAAAGCAACTAAAAAGAAACCAAGGAAGAGAGTTATAAAGCAATGAATTCAACAGGGTGAAAAACCGGGTGAAAAAAGAGGTGAGATTTCACCACTTCACCTAAATTTATTTTTGTGCTATGTTTTCATACGTGTGAGGGTGGTGATATCATTAATTTTTAAGTTTATTTTTTATTTTATTTTTATATAAATGACGAAAACTATTGAGATAACAAACTACAACGGTCATGAGTTCAAGAATTGTTCTTCGTTCCTCGTGAAAATACATTCTATCAGATACGAGGGAGAAAGGGTAAAGTTAGTTTGAGCGTTTATGACAACAAACATAATGGGAGATATATAAAAGCAATAGATACAAACGGTAAACGTGTTTCATTAGCTTTGTCAAAACTTACTAACATTTATTTTGACAGTGACTTTGACTCTGACGATTGGAGCGACAGCAGCGATACTGAAGAATATGAACTATTGTGTGAAGCACAGCAATGGGAAGAGTTGCAATACTTTCGTAAGTGAGAACGTTTATTTTTTACAGTAGTGAAGTCGTTTGTGAAAACGTTAGTGAGGTGAAGTGGTTGGCGGCTTTATAAATATTTAAGGTTAAGTTGGTGTTTGTGTTTGTGTTGTAAAATATACGTTAACGGTTTTGTAAAGTGTCAAATTCACATATAATGGGTAAGGAGGCGCGCAGTGCCTCAGTACACATGATATGTATTCTATCTACAACGCCAGCTTTCATCAGCCAGCACTACCAACTCTGTTCCACAGCAACAGCTCTTAACAGCCAACGCTCCTCTACAAAGCCCACTTTCTGCCAACACCCCGCCACAACGCCAGCTCTCTGCCAACGCTCCTCTTCAACGCCAGCTTTCATTAGCCAGCAGTACCAACACTCCCCCACAGCAACAACTCTCTGCCAACACCCAGACACAACGCCAGCTCTCTGCCAACTCTCTTCCACAGCAACAACTCTCTGCCAACACCCAGACACAACTCCAGCTCTCTGCCAACACCCAGACACAACGCCAGCTCTCTGCCAACACCCCTCTTCAGCGCCAGCTATCTGCCAACACTTCGGCACAGCAACAACTCTCTGCCAACACCTTGGCACAGCAACAACTCTCTGCCAACACGCATCTTCAACGCCAGCTCTCTGCCAACACCTTGGCACAGCAACAACTCTCTGCCAACACGCATCTTCAACGCCAGCTCTCTGCCAACACCTCGGCACAGCAACAACTCTCTGCCAACACTCCCCCACAACGCCAGCTCTCGGCCAACACTCATCTAGGGATGCGTTAAACACGCCATTTGACCGGGCGTATATTTTTTTTGTTCGCCCAAAAATTTCGCCATTTGAGAAATTGAAAAATTAAAAATAAAATTTTAATCTTGATTTTTTTATTTTCGTGATTTTTTTGAAACTTACATAAGCGATGAAATACTTTTTTTTAAGTAATCGTTTATTATATATAAATATATCTTAATAAATTTAATTCCTTAAGGTAGAGCGTGTTCAAATTTAAAATCTCATACAATATTTTCTTAATGGCGTATTTTTCTGAGGTCGCCCAAATAAAGGCGAATTCAAAATTGAGAACTCCAAGGCGTATGGCGAGTATTCAAAAGTACGCCACTTACAAAATATTGAATGTGGATTATCAATTTTTGGCGTGTTCAATTTCAATTTTGATATTTATGTTTATTTTATTCAGTATAATGCTAAGAATTAAAATATAAAATTCATAGAATTTTTTCTTTGAAAATATTTTACATTTTTATTAGACCACTCCTAGACTAGTCATCAGGTTATCCTCAGATCATCCTCAGACTACTCCTTATCAGATTACTCATCATCCTCAGACTACTCCTTAGACCCCTCCTCATCAGACTACTCCTCAGATCTTCCTCATAAGACTCCTCCTCAGATCTTCCTCCTGAGACTACTCTTCAGACTACTCCTTAGAGTCCTCCTCATCAGACTAGTCCTGAGACTAGTCCTCAGACTACTCCTGAAACTACTCCTCAGATTATCCTCAAACTACTCCTCAGTCTAATCCTCAGACTCCTCCTCAGATTATCCTCAGACTAGTCCTCAGATTATCCTCAAACTCCTCCTCAGATTATCCTCAGACTAGTCCTAAGATTATCCTCAAACTACTCCTCAGTCTAATTCTCAGACTCCTCCTCAGATTATGCTCAGATTATCCTCAAACTCCTCAGATTATCCTCAGACTACTCCTCAAACTCCTCAGATTATCCTCAAACTCCTCCTCAGATTATCCTCAGACTAGTCCTCAGATTATCCTCAAACTCCTCCTCAGATTATCCTCAGACTAGTCCTAAGATTATCCTCAAACTACTCCTCAGTCTAATTCTCAGACTCCTCCTCAGATTATGCTCAGATTATCCTCAAACTCCTCAGATTATCCTCAGACTACTCCTCAAACTCCTCAGATTATCCTCAAACTCCTCCTCAGATTATCCTCAGACTAGTCCTAAGATTATCCTCAAACTACTCCTCAGTCTAATTCTCAGACTCCTCCTCAGATTATGCCAGATTATCCTCAAACTCCTCAGATTATCCTCAGACTACTCCTCAAACTCCTCAGATTATCCTCAAACTCCTCCTCAGATTATCCTCAGACTAGTCCTCAGATTATCCTCAAACTCCTCCTCAGATTATCCTCAGACTAGTCCTAAGATTATCCTCAAACTACTCCTCAGTCTAATCCTCAGACTCCTCCTCAGATTATGCTCAGATTATCCTCAAACTCCTCAGATTATCCTCAGACTACCCCTCAAACTCCTCAGACTCCTCCTCAGATTATCCTCAAACTCCTCAGACTACTCCTCAAACTACTCCTCAGATTATCCTCAAACTACTCCTCAGATTATCCTCAGACAACTCCTCAGATTATCCTCAAACTCCTCCTCAGATTATCCTCAAACTCCTCAGATTATCCTCAGACTACTCCTCAGATTATCCTCAAACTCCTCCTCAGATTATCCTCAAACTCCTCAGACTACTCCTCAAACTACTCCTCAGTCTAATCCTCAGACTCCTCCTCAGATTATCCTCAAACTCCTCAGATTATCCTCAAACTACTCCTCAGATTATCCTCAGACAACTCCTCAGATTATCCTCAAACTCCTCAGACTCCTCCTCAGATTATCCTCAAACTCCTCAGATTATCCTCACTCCTCAGACTACTCCTCGGTCTAATCCTCAGACTCCTCCTCAGATTATCCTCAAACTACTCCTCAGATTATCCTCAGACAACTCCTCAGATTATCCTCAAACTACTCCTCAGATTATCCTCAGACTCCTCCTCAGATTATCCTCAAACTACTCCTCAGTCTAATCCTCAGACTCCTCCTCAGATTATCCTCAAACTACTCCTCGGTCTAATCCTCAGACTCCTCCTCGGTCTAATCCTCAGACTACTCCTCAGATTATCCTCAAACTCCTCAGATTATCCTCAAACTCCTCAAACTACTCCTCAGATTATCCTCAGACAACTCCTCAGATTATCCTCAAACTCCTCAGACTCCTCCTCAGATTATCCTCAAACTCCTCAGATTATCCTCAGACTCCTCAGACTACTCCTCAAACTACTCCTCAGACTCCTCTTCAAACTACTCCTCAGTCTAATACTCAAACTCCTCCTCAGATTATCCTCAAACTCCTCAGACTACTCCTCAAACTACTCCTCAGATTATCCTCAAACTACTCCTCAGATTATCCTCAGACAACTCCTCAGATTATCCTCAAACTCCTCCTCAGATTATCCTCAAACTCCTCAGATTATCCTCAGACTACTCCTCAGATTATCCTCAAACTCCTCCTCAGATTATCCTCAAACTCCTCAGACTACTCCTCAAACTACTCCTCAGTCTAATCCTCAGACTCCTCCTCAGATTATCCTCAGACTAGTCCTCGGATTATCCTCAAACTCCTCCTCAGATTATCCTCAGACTAGTCCTAAGATTATCCTCAAACTACTCCTCAGTCTAATCCTCAGACTCCTCCTCAGATTATCCTCAAACTACTCCTCAGATTATCCTCAGACTACTCCTCAGATTATCCTCAAACTCCTCCTCAGATTATCCTCAAACTCCTCAGACTACTCCTCAAACTACTCCTCAGTCTAATCCTCAGACTCCTCCTCAGATTATCCTCAAACTCCTCAGATTATCCTCAAACTACTCCTCAGATTATCCTCAGACAACTCCTCAGATTATCCTCAAACTCCTCAGACTCCTCCTCAGATTATCCTCAAACTCCTCAGATTATCCTCAAACTCCTCAGACTACTCCTCGGTCTAATCCTCAGACTCCTCCTCAGATTATCCTCAAACTACTCCTCAGATTATCCTCAGACAACTCCTCAGATTATCCTCAAACTACTCCTCAGATTATCCTCAGACTCCTCCTCAGATTATCCTCAAACTACTCCTCAGTCTAATCCTCAGACTCCTCCTCAGATTATCCTCAAACTACTCCTCGGTCTAATCCTCAGACTCCTCTCGGTCTATCCTCAGACTACTCCTCAGATTATCCTCAAACTCCTCAGATTATCCTCAAACTCCTCAAACTACTCCTCAGATTATCCTCAGACAACTCCTCAGATTATCCTCAAACTCCTCAGACTCCTCCTCAGATTATCCTCAAACTCCTCAGATTATCCTCAGACTCCTCAGACTACTCCTCAAACTACTCCTCAGACTCCTCTTCAAACTACTCCTCAGTCTAATCCTCAGACTCCTCCTCAGATTATCCTCAAACTCCTCAGACTACTCCTCAAACTACTCCTCAGATTATCCTCAAACTACTCCTCAGATTATCCTCAGACAACTCCTCAGATTATCCTCAAACTCCTCCTCAGATTATCCTCAAACTCCTCAGATTATCCTCAGACTACTCCTCAGATTATCCTCAAACTCCTCCTCAGATTATCCTCAAACTCCTCAGACTACTCCTCAAACTACTCCTCAGTCTAATCCTCAGACTCCTCCTCAGATTATCCTCAAACTCCTCAGACTCCTCCTCAGATTATCCTCAAACTCCTCAGATTATCCTCAAACTCCTCAGACTATCCTCGGTCTAATCCTCAGACTCCTCCTCAGATTATCCTCAAACTACTCCTCAGATTATCCTCAGACAACTCCTCAGATTATCCTCAAACTCATCAGATTATCCTCAAACTCCTCAGATTATCCTCAAACTCCTCAGATTATCCTCAAACTCCTCAGATTATCCTCAAACTCATCAGACTACCTCTCGGTCTAATACTCAAACTCCTCCTCAGATTATCCTCAAACTCCTCAGACTACTCCTCGGTCTAATCCTCAGACTACTCCTCAGACTACTCCTCAAACTCCTCAGACTACTCCTCGGTCTAATACTCAGACTCCTCCTCAGATTATCCTCAAACTCCTCAGACTACTCCTCGGTCTAATCCTCAGACTACTCCTCAAACTACTCCTCGGTCTAATCCTCAGACTACTCCTCAAACTCCTCAGACTACTCCTCGGTCTACTCCTCAGACTCCTCCTCAGATTATCCTCAAACTCCTCAGACTACTCCTCAAACTCCTCAGACTACTCCTCAAACTACTCCTCAGACTCCTCCTCAGATTATCCTCAAACTCCTCAGATTATCCTCAAACTCCTCAGACTACTCCTCGGTCTACTCCTCAGACTCCTCCTCAGATTATCCTCAAACTCCTCAGACTACTCCTCGGTCTAATCCTCAGACTCCTCCTCAGATTATCCTCAAACTCCTCCTCAGATTATCCTCAAACTACTCCTCAGACTACTCCTCAGATTATCCTCAAACTCCTCAGATTATCCTCAAACTCCTCAGACTACTCCTCGGTCTACTCCTCAGACTCCTCATCAGATTATCCTCAAACTCCTCAGACTACTCCTCGGTCTAATCCTCAGACTCCTCCTCAGATTATCCTCAAACTGCTCCTGAGATTATCCTCAGACAACTCCTCAGACTACTCCTCGGTCTAATACTCAGACTCCTCCTCAGATTATCCTCAAACTCCTCAGACTACTCCTCGGTCTAATCCTCAGACTCCTCCTCAGATTATCCTCAAACTACTCCTCAGATTATCCTCAGACAACTCCTCAGATTATCCTCAAACTCCTCCTCAGATTATCCTCAAACTCCTCAGACTACTCCTCAGATTATCCTCAAACTACTCCTCAGATTATCCTCAAACTCCTCAGATTATCCTCAAACTCATCAGATTATCCTCAAACTCCTCAGATTATCCTCAAACTCATCAGACTACTCCTCGGTCTAATACTCAGACTCCTCCTCAGATTATCCTCAAACTCCTCAGACTACTCCTCGGTCTAATCCTCAGACTACTCCTCAGACTACTCCTCAAACTCCTCAGACTACTCCTCGGTCTAATACTCAGACTCCTCCTCAGATTATCCTCAAACTCCTCAGACTACTCCTCGGTCTAATCCTCAGACTACTCCTCAAACTACTCCTCGGTCTAATCCTCAGACTACTCCTCAAACTCCTCAGACTACTCCTCGGTCTACTCCTCAGACTCCTCCTCAGATTATCCTCAAACTCCTCAGACTACTCCTCAAACTCCTCAGACTACTCCTCAAACTACTCCTCAGACTCCTCCTCAGATTATCCTCAAACTCCTCAGATTATCCTCAAACTCCTCAGACTACTCCTCGGTCTACTCCTCAGACTCCTCCTCAGATTATCCTCAAACTCCTCAGACTACTCCTCGGTCTAATCCTCAGACTACTCCTCAGATTATCCTCAGATTATCCTCAAACTCCTCCTCAGATTATCCTCAAACTCCTCAGACTACTCCTCGGTCTAATCCTCAGACTACTCCTCAGATTATCCTCAGATTATCCTCAAACTCCTCCTCAGATTATCCTCAGACTCCTCAGACTACTCCTCAAACTACTCCTCAGACTACTCCTCAGATTATCCTCAAACTCCTCCTCAGATTATCCTCAAACTCCTCAGACTACTCCTCAAACTCCTCAAATTATCCTCAGACAACTCCTGAAACTACTCCTCAGATTATCCTCAAACTCCTCAGACTACTCCTCGGTCTAATCCTCAGACTCCTCCTCAGATTATCCTCAAACTACTCCTCAGATTATTCTCAGACTACTCCTCAGATTATCCTCAAACTACTCCTCAGATTATCCTCAAACTCCTCAGATTATCCTCAAACTCCTCAGATTATCCTCAAACTCCTCAGATTATCCTCAAACTCCTCAGATTATCCTCAAACTCATCAGACTACTCCTCGGTCTAATACTCAAACTCCTCCTCAGATTATCCTCAAACTCCTCAGACTACTCCTCAAACTACTCCTCAGATTATCCTCAAACTACTCCTCAGATTATCCTCAGACAACTCCTCAGATTATCCTCAAACTCCTCCTCAGATTATCCTCAAACTCCTCAGATTATCCTCAGACTACTCCTCAGATTATCCTCAAACTCCTCCTCAGATTATCCTCAAACTCCTCAGACTACTCCTCAAACTACTCCTCAGTCTAATCCTCAGACTCCTCCTCAGATTATCCTCAGACTAGTCCTCGGATTATCCTCAAACTCCTCCTCAGATTATCCTCAGACTAGTCCTAAGATTATCCTCAAACTACTCCTCAGTCTAATCCTCAGACTCCTCCTCAGATTATCCTCAAACTACTCCTCAGATTATCCTCAGACTACTCCTCAGATTATCCTCAAACTCCTCCTCAGATTATCCTCAAACTCCTCAGACTACTCCTCAAACTACTCCTCAGTCTAATCCTCAGACTCCTCCTCAGATTATCCTCAAACTCCTCAGATTATCCTCAAACTCTCCTCAGATTATCCTCAGACAACTCCTCAGATTATCCTCAACTCCTCAGACTCCTCCTCAGATTATCCTCAAACTCCTCAGATTATCCTCAAACTCCTCAGACTACTCCTCGGTCTAATCCTCAGACTCCTCCTCAGATTATCCTCAAACTACTCCTCAGATTAATCCTCAGACAATCCTCAGATTATCCTCAAACTACTCCTCAGATTATCCTCAGACTCCTCCTCAGATTATCCTCAAACTACTCCTCAGTCTAATCCTCAGACTCCTCCCAGATTATCCTCAAACTACTCCTCGGTCTAATCCTCAGACTCCTCTCGGTCTAATCCTCAGACTACTCTCTCAGATTATCCTCAAACTCCTCAGATTATCCTCAAACTCCAAACTACTCCTCAGATTATCCTCAGACAACTCCTCAGATTATCCTCAAACTCCTCAGACTCCTCCTCAGATTATCTCAACTCCTCAGATTATCCTCAGACTCCTCAGATCACTCCTCAAACTACTCCTCAGACTCCTCTTCAAACTACTCCTCAGTCTAATCCTCAGACTCCTCCTCAGATTATCCTCAAACTCCTCAGACTACTCCTCAAACTACTCCTCAGATTATCCTCAAACTACCCTCAGATTATCCTCAGACAACTCCTCAGATTATCCTCAAACTCCTCCTCAGATTATCCTCAAAACTCCTCAGATTATCCTCAGACTAACTCCTCAGATTATTCCTCAAACTCCTCCTCAGATTATCCTCAAACTCCTCAGACTACTCCTCAAACTACTCCTCAGTCTAATCCTCAGACTCCTCAGATTATCCTCAAACTCCTCAGACTACTCCTCAAACTACTCCTCAGATTATCCTCAGACTCCCTCCTCAGATTATTCCTCAAACTCTCCTCAGATTATCTCAAACTCCTCAGACAACTCCTGAAACTACTCCTCAGCACACTCCTCAGATTATCCTCAAACTCCTCAGATTATCCTCAGACTCCTCAGACTACTCCTCAAACTACTCCTCAGACTCCTCCTCAGATTATCCTCAAACTCCTCAGATTATCCTCAGACTCCTCAGATACTCCCAAACTACTCCTCAGACTCCTCCTCAGATTATCCTCAAACTACTCCTCAGATTATCCTCAGACAACTCCTCAGATTATCCTCAAACTCCTTCTCAGATTATCCTCAAACTCCTCAGATTATCCTCAGACTACTCCTCAGATTATCCTCAAACTCCTCCTCAGATTATCCTCAAACTCCTCAGATTATCCTCAAACTCCTTCTCAGATTATCCTCAAACTCCTCAGATTATCCTCAGACTACTCCTCAGATTATCCTCAAACTCCTCCTCAGATTATCCTCAAACTCCTCAGATTATCCTCAGACTCCTCCTCAGATTATCCTCAAACTCCTCCTCAGATTATCCTCAAACTCCTCAGACAACTCCTGAAACTACTCCTCAGACAACTCCTCAGATTATCCTTAAACTCCTCAGATTATCCTCAGACTCCTCAGACTACTCCTCAAACTACTCCTCAGACTCCTCCTCAGATTATCCTCAAACTACTCCTCAGATTATCCTCAGACAACTCCTCAGATTATCCTCAAACTCCTCCTCAGATTATCCTCAAACTCCTCAGATTATCCTCAGACTACTCCTCAGATTATCCTCAAACTCCTCCTCAGATTATCCTCAAACTCCTCAGACTACTCCTCAAACTACTCCTCAGTCTAATCCTCAGACTCCTCCTCAGATTATCCTCAAACTCCTCAGACTACTCCTCAAACTACTCCTCAGATTATCCTCAGACTCCTCCTCAGATTATCCTCAAACTCCTCCTCAGATTATCCTCAGACTCCTCAGACTACTCCTCAGACAACTCCTCAGATTATCCTCAAACTCCTCAGATTATCCTCAAACTCCTCAGATTATCCTCAAACTCCTCAGACTACTCCTCGGTCTAATCCTCAGACTACTCCTCAGATTATCCTCAAACTCCTCAGATTATCCTCAAACTCCTCAAACTACTCCTTAGATTATCCTCAAACTCCTCAGATTATCCTCAAACTCCTCAGACTACTCCTCGGTCTAATCCTCAGACTACTCCTCAGATTATCCTCAAACTCCTCAGACTACTCCTCAGATTATCCTCAAACTACTCCTCAGATTATCCTCAGACAACTCCTCAGATTATCCTCAAACTCCTCAGACTACTCCTCAAACTCCTCAAATTATCCTCAGACAACTCCTGAAACTACTCCTCAGACAACTCCTCAGATTATCCTCAAACTCCTCAGACTACTCCTCAAACTCCTCAAATTATCCTCAGACAACTCCTGAAACTACTCCTCAGACAACTCCTCAGATTATCCTCAAACTCCTCAGATTATCCTCAAACTACTCCTCAGATTATCCTCAGACAACTCCTCAGATTATCCTCAAACTCCTCAGATTATCCTCAAACTCCTCAGATTATCCTCAAACTCCTCAGACTACTCCTCAAACTACTCCTCAGACTACTCCTCGGTCTAATACTCAGACTCCTCCTCAGATTATCCTCAAACTACTCCTCAGATTATCCTCAGACAACTCCTCAGATTATCCTCAAACTCATCAGATTATCCTCAAACTCCTCAGATTATCCTCAAACTCCTCAGATTATCCTCAAACTCCTCAGATTATCCTCAAACTCATCAGACTACTCCTCGGTCTAATACTCAAACTCCTCCTCAGATTATCCTCAAACTCCTCAGACTACTCCTCGGTCTAATCCTCAGACTACTCCTCAGACTACTCCTCAAACTCCTCAGACTACTCCTCGGTCTAATACTCAGACTCCTCCTCAGATTATCCTCAAACTCCTCAGACTACTCCTCGGTCTAATCCTCAGACTACTCCTCAAACTACTCCTCGGTCTAATCCTCAGACTACTCCTCAAACTCCTCAGACTACTCCTCGGTCTACTCCTCAGACTCCTCCTCAGATTATCCTCAAACTCCTCAGACTACTCCTCAAACTCCTCAGACTACTCCTCAAACTACTCCTCAGACTCCTCCTCAGATTATCCTCAAACTCCTCAGATTATCCTCAAACTCCTCAGACTACTCCTCGGTCTACTCCTCAGACTCCTCCTCAGATTATCCTCAAACTCCTCAGACTACTCCTCGGTCTAATCCTCAGACTACTCCTCAGATTATCCTCAGATTATCCTCAAACTCCTCCTCAGATTATCCTCAAACTCCTCAGACTACTCCTCGGTCTAATCCTCAGACTACTCCTCAGATTATCCTCAGATTATCCTCAAACTCCTCCTCAGATTATCCTCAGACTCCTCAGACTACTCCTCAAACTACTCCTCAGACTACTCCTCAGATTATCCTCAAACTCCTCCTCAGATTATCCTCAAACTCCTCAGACTACTCCTCAAACTCCTCAAATTATCCTCAGACAACTCCTGAAACTACTCCTCAGATTATCCTCAAACTCCTCAGATTATCCTCAAACTCCTCAGACTACTCCTCGGTCTAATCCTCAGACTCCTCCTCAGATTATCCTCAAACTACTCCTCAGATTATTCTCAGACTACTCCTCAGATTATCCTCAAACTACTCCTCAGATTATCCTCAAACTCCTCAGATTATCCTCAAACTCCTCAGATTATCCTCAAACTCCTCAGATTATCCTCAAACTCCTCAGATTATCCTCAAACTCATCAGACTACTCCTCGGTCTAATACTCAAACTCCTCCTCAGATTATCCTCAAACTCCTCAGACTACTCCTCGGTCTAATCCTCAGACTACTCCTCAGACTACTCCTCAAACTCCTCAGACTACTCCTCGGTCTAATCCTCAGACTCCTCCTCAGATTATCCTCAAACTACTCCTCAGATTATCCTCAGACAACTCCTCAGATTATCCTCAAACTCCTCAGACTACTCCTCAAACTCCTCAAATTATCCTCAGACAACTCCTGAAACTACTCCTCAGACAACTCCTCAGATTATCCTCAAACTCCTCAGATTATTCTCAAACTCCTCAGATTATCCTCAAACTCCTCAGACTACTCCTCAAACTACTCCTCAGACTACTCCTCGGTCTAATCCTCAGACTCCTCCTCAGATTATCCTCAGATTATCACTTTACATATATATATCGATAACTAAATAATTACTTATTATACTTTCTTTATTTTTTTTTTAATTTTAAAATAATATTAATATATCTTTCTACGTTTAATGATGAAAAGAGAAAGAGGAGTAAAAAGAGGAAAGAGGAAAGAGAGAGAAAAAAAAAGAGAAAGAAAGAAAAAAAAAGGACGGCGATAATTTTGTATTGTTTTGTTATTCGGCCGAATGGCGTATTATTCTATTTTTAAACGGTCATGGCGTAAAACCGTCGCATCCCTACACTCATCTTCAACGCCAGCACTCTGCCAACTCCCCTCTTCAGCGCCAGCTATCTGCCAACACTCTTCCACAGCAACAACTCTCTGCCAACACGCATCTTCAACGCCAGCTCTCTGCCAACACCTCGGCACAGCAACAACTCTCTGCCAATACTCAGCCTCAGCCTCACCCATCTGTGTCTATTCCCCTTAAGCGCGGGAGACCCAAAGTTAATGTACCAAAAGATCTTAAGGTAACTATTAGAAACCTAATTGAGCAGCATGGCCATCTTGGAATAATCTCCGCCTATAACCAAATAAATAAAGATATCGAATATGCCAAATATCATTTTGAGGCATTTTTGGACATGAAGACGGGTATTGTTCCACAGCCAACGCCTACCCAAGCATGGTTCTCCGCTATTGAACGTTTTAAACCCCTGAATCAAATTTCTTCCACAATTCCTTCCGGACTTATGATTGAAGAGTCTCCATTATCATTTCCATCTGAGCTGAGGAACATTAAATATCTTACAAACCCTCTTCCACATCCCCCTCAAGACATATGGTAGAAAGAGCTTTTAGAGAGCTAGGCTTGGCACGTCCAAGGGGACCCTATCGGCCAAAAGGAAAGACAAGATACTTAGCTGCCTTTCCTAACCAAATATGGCACGTTGATATCCACTTTCTTGGCAAAAAGAGAAGTCGGATTCTTTATGCTGTGATTGATGACTGCACAAGGCTCATCATAGAATGGCAGCATCTTTCGTCAAAAGATGCTAGCCAAACAGTGAAAGTTATTAAGAGAGCAATAGCCCGTTATGGACCACCACATACAATTTGGTCCGATAATGGCGGCGAGAATAAAGGCGAGTTCCTAAAGGTTATGAGGGTTCGGGGGATCAATAATGTATATATTGTCCCCCATTGCCCATACCAAAATGGGAAAATCGAGCGCTTGTGGCCTAACATAGAGAGCATAGAGTTGTCATGGGCAAAGATTCAACAATGGGTTGAGTACTATAATGCTAAACCTCATCTAGCATTACCAACTCATTATGTGAATGGAAAACAAATTCACTATAGCCCATCTGAAATGTGGAAGAAACTTCCAATTTGGAAGAGGGGAATGCCGGCAAAATGGATTGTGGATGGAGTCTCTCAAGATTTTCTTCCAGGTTCACTTATGGCCAATGAGATGCCAGAGCTCCAAGGAATCGAAGAAGATGAATGGGAAAAAGAAGGCGAGGAAGTTGAAGAAGAAGAAAATAAGGCGAATCCGGTTGAAATAGAAGAAGATAGTAATGAAGAAGAAGAATACGAAGTAAATTATGAAGAAGAATATCAAGAAGATTATGAAGACCCTTATGAAGAAGATTATGATGATTCATTTTAATATTACGAATAAAATGTCACTTTTCTATTTTTGACACGTAAAGTTGTCACTTTTATGTCAAACTGTTTTTATCGTTTTCGTATATAACAAAGTTAAAAATGTTTATTAGTTGATAAATTTCAAAATAGAAAATTTCGGAGTTGTTGAAAGTTTTCTTAGTTCCAATCAAAGACAAAACTTCTTTCGCTGATTTAATAGCATCTGTTCCTTTGACATTTTCAACGGTTTCAAGAACTTCACTGATTTGTTCATTACATTCTTCGAAACAATTGATTTCTTTACAAGCAAATTCTCTCAAAATGTTATGTGATTCTTTGACTGGGCAAATGAATGAAAGAATGTTAAGTTTATCAATTCCTTCGTATTCGAAACAGTCATTGCTGCAACCACAAACTAAAACAACGGGAACCTGCTTAGAAACTAAAAAATCAATCTCATTCTGAATATCTTTCTTTTGAATCTTCTTGATCTCAAAAACTAATGGAATAAAAATTCGATCATTTGTGAATTTTGTTGACACAAAAACGCCATCAAAACTTGAATGAGAAAATCGATGGCCGAAAATAGAATCAATTGCTGAAAATGCTGAATTAACACCAACAAAGCAAACTAATGAACAAAATCCGTCAACACTTAAAACTGTTTCTTCTGTTGAATGCAAACTAACTGTTTTAAGACATTTGTTGAAGTAGTTTTTAACATATGTGTTATCCTCAGAATAAACTCTATGTAATAGGTAAATATGCGTATCAAGCATACATGCGAGAATATGAAGTTATTTGAGACTGTTATTTGATTTTAGAAACTATTTCTTCTGTTGAATGTAAACTAACTGTATTCAGACACTTAGTGAAGTTAATTTGAGACTATTAAGTGATTTTAGTAGTTTTTGACTTTGAACTCAAATTTGTTTCTTTTGAATCTAATTATGAGAAAATACCACAAATCCCTTATTATCTCACAGTTAAAGAAAAAGTGTTAGATATTCTGGAAGATAATTTACTGACTTCATATCAGTTGAAGCATAGAAATGGAATGAAATCAAGATCTTTTTCAAGTTCTCACTTTATAGGATTCTTATCTCAAATTTTTTGTGATTTCGATTTTCAGGACTTCAATGAAAAATATAGATGATGGTCATTTGAATAAAATAAAAATAGTTTTATTTAGTAAGATGTTTCCAGAATAGATGTGTAGAAGGACGACGTAAAGATTTGAGATTTAAATGATTCTTTGGAAACATGAACTATATGACATGAAATCATAAGTCTTCGAGGAATTCCAGAAGCAGCAATCATTCGAATATAATCAGTAGATGTGTTCTCAATAATAAGAGGACATCGAATGGATTTGCACTCATGGAATGCATCAATCTCAACATCTGAAACTGAAAGTGGGAAATTGATGTATTTGAGATTAAGACATTTGTTGAATGAATAATCTTCAATAACAGAAACACTATCTGATTTAATATTGATTTTCTCAATATTGTTACTCGAATTGAATGAATAACTACAGATAACACTGCAGTTAATGTTGAGTTCTTTGTCTTTTGAGGGACTCAAATGAAAAATAAGTTCCCATTTAGTATTGTTTATTTGGTAAATAGTATTATAAATACATTTGAATTTATCTGATGAAAAATTACTGATATTTGTAAGAGATTCGCATTCTGAAATAGAATTAATTGAAAATGTATCAAGTAAATTTGTTTCACTGAATGTAATTGATTTTAGCTTCTTACAATAAAGAAATGAATAGTCTAAAATATATTGAATAGATTGTGTAATTTTAATACTTTCTAATGAAGAACAATTTTCAAATGATTTAATTCCAATCGATTTTGATCCTTCTCGAATTGTAACTTTTTCTAAATTAGCACATCCACAAAAACAATTATCAGGAACATTCGAAATATTAATTACATTCTTTAATCTAATGCAATTCTCAAATGTGTTAGTCATAATAACCAAATTAGGTGATGAAAATGTAAAATCTTCTAAATTAATGCAATCTTTAAATGATGACATTCCTAATGTTTGTAAATTAGGAAATGAATAATTAAATGATCTTAATTTTGAACAATTTCTAAATGCATAATCTTCTATAGAAGTGATTTGAGAGTTTTCTGTGAAATAAAAATTCCCAACTGTAGAATTTTCAAATGCTTTTTCTTTGACTTTTGTAACAGATTCAGGAATTGTAATACTATAAGAATATCCCCAGTATTCATAAATATTGGTTTGATCAGAACTCATAATAAAACGATCTGGAGTAATAATAAGATTTGGTTCATTCAGATATAAAATTGAAACATTTGTGTTCCTTGCAACTGAAGCAGAAGAAAATAGAGTTTTGCAAGTAAATGACAAATTGACTTTTGGCATATCCGTTGAAATAAAATAATATCCTTGAACAGTCATTGGCGAATTAGGGAATATAATTAGTTCAAGATTACTGCAATCATCAAATACTCGATCACCAAAGTAATCTATTGGACCTAGAAAAGTAACATTTATCAAACTATTACAACTACTGAAAACATAACCTTCAATCTTTTTCACATTTACAGGAACTATTATTGTTTGGATAGATGATTGATAAAAGCAATACTCTCCGATTGCTGTGACTGAATTTGGAATTTCATATCCTATTTTGTTACAAATAAAAAATAAAATACTTTCATTTTTTGAAAAAACAGCATTTCCATTTGTTGTTAAGTAATTATTTTTAGGATGAACTGAAATACTTGTTAATTGTCTATCTGTAAATGCATATCCATGGACTATAGAAACTTTTTCTGGAATTTGAAACGAAGTAATTGATGAATGAGCAAATATAATTTCTTCTAAAAAAGTTAAATTTGATCCTTCCCCAAAAGTAACATTTTGCAACTTAGAACATCTATAAAATGCTTGTTTATCTATTATTTTAACAGATGCAGGAATGACAATACTGGTCACTTGATAATTATATCGAAATGCATCATCTCCTATTTCAAGGAGTCCTTCTGGTAAAAGTATCTGATTGACTTTAGAGCACTCATAAAATGCTTCAGAAGATATTTTTGTAAGTTTGTTGCATGATGATAGATTGATAATGATAAGATTTCCGCATCTATAAAAACTTTTCTCCCCAATTGTTGTTAAATTAGGATTTTCTTGAAATGAAAAGGAATTTAATGTGCCGAGTTCATAAAAGCATTTATCTTGGATAATTTCGCATGTGGATGATATTCTGTGGTCGGATGATGTATCATTAACACTTGTAAGGATTTTTCCATCACTTGAATAACAACTTTCGTCAATATTTGTGTAAAGAAGTACTAAAAATATAATCATAATGAATAACTCATGCATGCCTTTTGCTTAAGTCTGTGTTTATGATAGTAATTTGGAACTATAATAAAAATTAAAAATTTGTTACATTTGAGAGGATTTTCACCTCTCAAATGTCACAAATTTGAATTCATGTTACCGTGAATTTTGAATTTGCACTTTTTGCAGAAGAATTTGTTAAAAATCATATGTTTAGATTATTATAAGCATTTGTTACGTAAAAGAAATCCAAAACGAATTTTATGGTCATTTCACTTCTCAATGATGAATTTTTGATAGGTTTACGTTATTGAAAAAATGAACTCAAACTATTCAATTTATTTTCAAAAAACTTTCCTAATAGCTGCATTGCAATTCAGGTATGTATCATTGCAGTGCAATCTCATAAATTTATCTTTTTAGTATGACCTTAAAAATAAAGAATTATCATTGTTGTCTGAGGAAAAAAAGATAATTTTGTCACTTTTTTATAAAAAAAACAATAGTAAAAGCATATTTAAAAATCTATTCTTGACTTCCTACCCATTCGAAACGTTTCTGTTAATTCAATATTGCTGCCAATGATCCGCAAATAATTGTCATCACCAATATAAGCGGTTCTTCCATCTGCGAGTTTAACTTTGCCGGATGCTTTAGTAAAATCAACAGCATTAGTGCCATCAGTAATGTTTGCAATATTGTAATATCGAACACTATCAGGAAGCGGAGGTCGGAAGCACGATTTCATTTTTTCGTTAAGATATAAAGTGCGTCCATCTTCAAGTTCCCATTTGCGTTTAGTATAAACCTTTTCAAAGCAGCTTTGTATACCGTAAAATAAGCTCAATAAAATGAAAAGCATTTTCCAAAAATGGCAAATGACATTTTGCCATAAGTTCAGATTTTAAAACATTGTCAGTCTCCATTTCTTAAATTCTACAAAAAAATTAATTTTATTGAATGTTTTATTTGAATCAAAAATAATCGGAAGAAATTGAATTCATTATAATAAGAAAAATAATATTCAAAATACATATTTTAATAGGTTCTGATACTTTTTTCGGGCTTATTTTATAAGCCCGTAAAAAGTGTCAAACCTATTATCATATTCGTTTTTTCTCAAAGCGATATCCTTATTTCAAACTAAAATTTAAGATTTAAAATGAAATATATAAGAAAATATATGAAAAGGGAAGAAATTTAAAAATATGAAATAAAATTTCAGCGAATTATAAAAAAAAAAAAACAAACTTTATTAATAAATCATGATAATATACAAAAATAACAATAAAAATCAAATAAAAAACTAATGTTGAGTAAAATCTTTGTCACTGTATGAAGAAATGATATTAGTGACGTAAGCAGGGTAACCAACAGGTGAATTACAACTTTGGTTTGTTATATTTCTCAATGTTGGAACACTTGCCTGTATAGAATGTCTTTCTCTACTAGAAAGAGCGAAGAAAAGAATAGATCTTGCTTCATTTGCCCAGAACCCTCTGATACTTTCACTTTCCAGTGAAAATATGGACCAATTTTGTTCATTTTTGGCAAATCTAACAACTTCAATTTTTTCTTCATTCAAAACCATAGTAATTACAGGTTTTTCGTACTTCTGGAGTGCCTCTTCCAGTTCAGGAGACCTAAGAGGCAATATTTTGTAGCTTTCCTCTGTTTCGACCATGAATTGATAAATAGATTGTGGAGTTGAATTCTCTGGTTCAAGTCCTACAGAAACTAGGAACAATATACCGATACTATATCTAAAAGCATACAGTATTATGTTGGCATTGTCCTTTGTTTCGTCTTGGAAGACTTCTTTTCCGTCGAAAACTTCCAAAATTTTGTCGTATTTGAATTGTCCGTTCTTACTTACGACAATTGAGTGGACGTAATGTGTAACAACCCACAATCTCTTCATGATTCGGTCGTCTAAAGTCAAATCTAACTGAGATGCAACGTATCTGATGTATTCCATGTTCCTTTCACTGAAAGCGGCCTTGGCATTCTTCAAATTCTCATTGGAAGCTTGGATTTCTTCAGGAGAAAGTGGTTTTTCGTCTTTAATTCCTTTCAATGTGAAGTAAACTAAGCTTCTGAGCTCCCACATGAGGAAGGATTTGCCTAATCTTGGCACAACGTTCTCCCTCAGTGAACATTTCGTGAAACTGATCATTGTCAAAGGAATTTTTGTGGCTCGAAGCTCAAACATTGAGTGGTTGAAGGCGAAACATTGGCCAATGTTGCCAAATGTTTGATGTTCGAGCACAATCTGCTGTAAAACAGAGAGTTCGCCGCCATGACATAAAGTTTGGGAGATATATTCGAGGCCACGAACCTGGAAACTGACTTTATTTGCTTCCAATGCTATGACATGGACAATGGCCATAAGGTCATCGCATAACATTAAGAAGAAAGAGTCATCATTCACTAGACCAAGTTTTCCATCTTTGACCATGTTTCCGAAATCCTTCTGGAGAGCTTCACTGAGGCTCAAATATGTTGGCGCTTCAAGGGGATAGTCACTGGATGACTTAATGTACTCATCATGCGGAACATCTCCATCGATAAAGTCATAAAAAGAGTTCGGCCGCGGTGGGGAGAAGAAGAAAAGACCGATGTAACCAAAGGAAATTGATAACGGAGCTCCTGTAAGTAATGACCAACCTAATGCGGGGCCGCTGATGACATTTAAGGGATGTGGGATGTAGGAAACGATTGTAGTGATTATTGCGCTCTTCGCATACTCCCATTTATTGAGAAATGGATCAGAATAAATAGTCGGAGAAACCCATCTTGCTTTAAACCACAATCTGAGGAATCTTGTGACTTTTATAAGCTTCCTTGATAATATAAGTGATATAAACAAGTCGGTAGAAAGACTTTTGTTACCGACTTCTCTAAATAATAAGAAATATGAGAGAATTAAAGCGATGCAGAAAATATGTGGTAATGTCTGTGACAATCTAAGTCCATGGAGAATAATAATTGCACCTGCTACCGGATAAACTTTGTACTTAATAAGTGAAATTGAAATATAAGCTGGTCCTGTGAGGAAATTCGTAATATAATGAGCATATTTCGTGAGGAATGTATATGATATGATTTTTCCATGCACAAAAACATACTTCTGGTGCGTTGTTACGTATGGAAAAATGATATCAATAATCGCATGACACAAAATGATGCAAATTAATACAAAAGGTATCGCCTTTTCGTTAATCAACCAGTTAGAAAGTGCTGTAGCACCTGACAATGAAGCAGAAATGATTGCAGAAACCAAATGTCGTTTCATGAACGTTTGGCAGTTATCTGCTATTGAAAATTGAGTAAAGAACGTTACAAAGAACATGGCCAGACCAACAGCAATTGGAGCATTGTCGATGTAAAAGATTAATACGACAATAATCACCATTAAAAGGGAAGAGAAGAATGCTCCAAGGCTCTTCTTGATGTTTGTTGACCCGCTGATACCAAATAAGTATTTGTTAAGGCTTTCTATCAGCCAATGTAAAGTTGTGATCGGATGTCCAAAAATTCCGATCATAAAACCTAATGGATATAAAAGGAAACAAAGGTAGAATACATGTGCGCCGAGATTCAGAATACTTGGCATTTGTAAATCGAAATTTAAAACATTAACTTTCGTAGGAACGTATTTTTCGAGAAATAATAATATACAAGCTGATCCAACCATGGATACAGCTACTGACGCACGCGAATATGAAATATAAGGATCTGTGAAAGATGTCGAATAAGGATCGCATTGTGGAGGTAATAACAATGAGAAAATGGCCATTGATGATATCAATGACGAATACCATGTCAAATAATTGGGAATAAGTGTTCTAGATATTGTTATTCCAAGAGGAAGAAGCAAAGAAAGAATAACAGCAGAAAGCAGATGCCAATTATTGACAGGACGTGCAAAAGTGCGTTGTAATGATTCGCGATCGAAGTGGACATTCACTGGCTTTCCGCATAAAATAATTAAATTTGTTTTAATTCTTCGACTTGGAGCTCTGTCTTGCATGTCACGAGTGACAGTTCCGTTTTGTATTAGTGTTACTAGGCGAAAAATTTCTTCTATATCAAAGCCTTTTCGTAATAATTGATAAACTCTGTCATCCATCTGCATTCTTTCGTCAAACAATACACGACGATTTTCCCATAGTGGACCACTAATACCTGCAGGGATGATTGACTCAACACCTTCAAAGTCGTCGTGTGTATTTAAAGAATCATCGAGTAATGAGTTGAACCACACCACAATTAGTTCGATAATTAAAACAGCTAACGCTACAAGAGTAGATATCATAAAAATTGCAGTACTAGGAAGATCCATTGATAATAATAATAAAAAGGCCATAAAGAAAATCAGAAATACAGTGATTTTTATAATATTTGGCCATTTGTCATTCCTATGGAGTATAAATCCTCCTGTGATGCTACTCAAAATATGAAGCTTTGTACCATATAGCTCCATCTTTTTCAGGGCAGGTCACTTTTTTGAGGATGTTTTATTGTCGTCTGGAAAAAGTGACAAAATTATTATTGTCGTCTAAAAAGGTGACAAATTATTATTGTCGTCTGGAAAAGTGACAAAATTATCATTGTCGTCTAAAAAATAGATTTTTCAAGCATGTTTCGGTACCTAAATAAAGGAAGAACATCAATTCCATCTATGTATATAGTATGCAAACACGCATGATATATGGAGTAGCTCTTTATCTGGCTAAAAATCCTATTATTTGAAAATTCGCATTGTCGTCTAAAACCGCCAGACGACAATAATAATACCCCCACTTTTTTAAAGATTATTTGGAAAATTTTGGATTAGAATTCTCCGGTACGATCGTGCTGAACAATTTCATTCATAAATCCTGTTTTGTGCTATCCATTCATTTACAATTATATAAGTTTGATCGAATAAAGATCTGTAATTAAATTTTCTGATAAAAAATATAAAAATAAATATGATAAAACAAACATACATGATAATTTACTTAACAAAACATACAAACTATTCAGTTCTTATAGGTTCATTTTGAACTTCGATTTCAAACTTCGGTAATGATATAATAGTACATTGTAAATCTTCGCTTATGCTTAATACAGCTGCTCCCTTTGACTCAGATGAACTTGAAGATGAATAAATCGTCAAAATGGATTTATCATTTTGGAAAGGAAAGTTATATCCTTGAGGGGCTACTTCATGAGCTCTAACTATAAGTGAAAATCCGAATTTTTGACAGAACCTGGATGTAGCAACAGGTCCAAATAAAATTCCAATTCCACGATCGCTAGGAATCCAATTTCCATCTAGCAAATTTGCATTTGGATCTGACCATAAGAAGTTGGCGATTATTCCATGAGAAGATACATCTTTTGGTCTTTTGATGTCTTCAATTTCTTCTAATGAATTAATTGATGTAGAAATGCCTCCATGCACACAAAATATTTGATCGTCAATGATTGCTGCAAAAGGGAGGCATCTGAAAACTTCATTAATTATTTTCCATATTTTCTCAGAGTAATTCAGTATGCATTCTTCTAGGAATCCATAATGATAATTAGTTTTCCAATTTTCGTGATTACCTCGTAATAAAAAGAAATTATTTGGAAATTTGATTTTGAATGCAAATAGTAAAGCAACAACATCGATAGCTTGTTTACCTCGATCTACAAAATCTCCTAGGAAAAGATAGTTTGTAGCTGGAGGATATTTCATTGTTTCGAATATTCGCAATAAATCATAAAATTCACCATGAATATCTCCACATATGACAACAGGAGCTTCGAGACGAAGTAGTGAAGGCTGCTTTAGTAAAATCTTGCGAACGGATATACAAAGTTCGATTATTTCAGATTCTGTAATGCCTGACCGAGTTCCTGGTGGTTCATATCGTAGTTTGACTAGTTTTAAAATGATTGAATCTAAATGGTTTCTGTTATCTGTCATAAAAATGCCAAAATTTTCTCAAAATGAATGCCTTTGAAATTGATCAACAGTCTTTTTATACCAATATGTTAAGATATATAATAGAAAATGGATGTCAATGAGAAATATCGGAAAACAATTCAACTAATTGATATTTTTCCAAAATTTAGAATTAAAATCATAAAACCATTATCCAGGAATTCGTCCAATACTTGAAATACTGCCATAAGTGACAAATTAAAGAGGATAAGTTCCGCTTGTGTATAGTTTAATGAAATCATTACTATATTACTTTAACTATTCAATATATTTGTCTCAACAACCATGTAAATTTCTCATTTTGACTTTGAAAGCTAATAGTCCTTAATTCAGAATTCATATGCCTAATCCAAAATTATCTGAAATGTCAAAATCGTTTTCAATATTTCGGAAGATTTTCAGATGTTTACTAAAATGGAGGAGAGTAAATTTCAAAAATTTAATGCAAAAAACAAAGAAAAAAGAAAGTAAATCCTCTAAGATTAAGAAATGACGTAATTAGTCATCTTCTGGTAAGTCAAATGAATAGTACTTAGGAATTTGATCTGATTCTTCATCAACTTCTTTTGGAGTTTCGAAGCGAATTTCTTTTCGCTTCATATTTTCATCGAGCTCGAGAATACCAGCAGAGTTGCCGCATCTCCTGCAATAATCAGGTGCTGAGAATATTGTTACAATTTGATTATTGTGACCGTATTCAAGTCCTGTCATTACAAGTTGATGGCCTCTAGCTGTGAGCTCAAGACTGTTCTCTTTGTTCCAGCCAGCTGTAATGTCTGGGCCAAACTGATATCCTGCTTCTCTTGCGGATGGTTGGAATCCTGGAGTTGGTGTTGGGTCACTCCACATTAAATCGCACATTGGACCTTCGTGTGGAATTTCTCTGAATCGGTCAAGCTTCTGAATATCGTCAATTGTCTTAATTCTTGGGGAAAGACCTGCATGGACACATAAAATCTTGTCTCCAACAATTGCTGCTAGAGGAAGGAAGTTAAATGTATTTGTGTATGTTTGCCAAACATCATCATTGCCATATCTTGCAATAACCTCATCACGGAAGCCGAAAATTTGCGAAATTCCGGCACTTTCATGGTTGCCACGAAGAAGGGTAATATTATTAGGATACTTAAGCTTCAAGCAGAAAAGATATGAAACAGTTTCAATTGACTGAGAACCTCTATCAACATAGTCTCCGAGAAAGAGGTAGTTAGTCATTGGAACTTCTCCACCGATCTTAAATAACTCCATAAGATCTTTAAACTGTCCATGAATATCACCACAAATTGTTATTGGAGGTTGAACAGAAACAACATTTGGTAATTTCTCAAACAAAGCTTTTGACTTGACATTGATCCAATTGATCTCTTCAACTGTTGGCGTTAGTCCATCCATAATGTGCTTCATGATGGAGTCAGCATCAATAGTTCCGTTCATTCAACTGAAAAAATGATGGGCAAAAAATTAAGAAAGATTTCTTAAGAAACCGACGCCAGAAAAAATCTGGAAAAGAATGATCAGCAATATGTATGGAATTAATTTGGGGTTAAATAATAATATTTGAAAAAACCGTTTTGCAAAATCTTGTTTGAATAGATGTAAAATTATAATAGTTCGGAGATTTTCGATGAGTATTTTCATTTATAAATGATATTTAGAGATATTTACTTTTTTCAAAAATTCGAAATTTTGAATAAATTCAAATTTGAAAAGTAAGGAACACTATCAAATTTTGTCAAATATTTTTACGTTCAAAAATGCGATATTACATTATGTGTAAGCATCAAAAAATCATCAAAAAATATTTTCTCCAAAATTTATCGATAGAAATTATTAAGGGTATAGTCCACTAAAAATTTTTAAGTTTTGACAATGAAAATAAGCTCTGTGACCATGTAAATATATATCTATGCAAAACGAGAGGTTATGCCATAATTTTTTTTAGTTATCAAATTTCCCTTTTTTTGAGAGAAGTCTCTCAATAATTTGAGAAGAATCTTTGATATAAAGAGATACACATTTGTAGAACGAAGTAAGTGTTTTCCAAACATTTTATATGTTCATCCTGTATAACAATATAAAGCTGCATAGTGCCATCTTGTGCGTTTGCTATTTTATGTACTTTTCATTGAGATAATCCCTCTTCTCGGGTGATTTTAACAGTCAACTCAATTTTAAAATAAAGATTTCATCAAAATGATTTCGAAATTCGGATATTGATTATATAAATAGCACTGTTAACATATTTTGGATGAGTAAAAAATACCTTGTTTTGTATGCATTTAGTACACCTTTATTTTTGATTAAAACTATAAAATTTTTATTCCTTATATAATAAATAGTATATGTTACATAAACATGAAATTCAATAGCATTCAATTTTGGATTTTTTAGATTTGGTAAATTTTAGAAGAAATAAAATCAGCAATCAAAATAAAGAAACTTTTTTTGTATCTTCTATGATTACCTTTTGGTACTAAATTTTGCATTAATAAGTAAATTATCTGTATTATTCTGTGAGCACAAGCCCTCAGTTATGCTGGTAGTGAATGATGAATCGTCATTTTGCGAAGAGAACGCGATTATTAAGGTAATTTTGAGAATTGTCTTGAATTATTTAAAATTAAAGTTAATTGAATAGGTAGGATAACTAGCCTTTGCTAAATTTGTATAATTTGACCTTATTCTAGTTGGATCTGAGAATATTTTGCTGAAATAATAAATTTTATCGCCGATTTATGAAAATTTCTCTGATGGGACCGACTCGCTGAAACGTATTAGTGTTAATGGTAACTTGTCTGAATTTTCAAATTTTTTTCGAAATCCAAAAAATCACAAACAAAAGCATCAAAATTAGATTTGCATTTAAGGTTTTCATTTTTTTTTGGAAAATAAAAATATTTTTTCCCCAATAAAGTTTATTTTTACTTTTGAGAGGAATAGAAACGTTATTTTGGAATTTTGAAACGACAGAAATGTTCCATTTTTAATGTAGATTCTAAAATGGGGTCAAATTTTTGATTGAACCGTTATCCATTGAAAAACCTCGATTTAAAAATGTTATTCCAAAATATTCATCTAATGATATAGTATATATTTATTAATTATTACTTTTTATTCAATTTTCACTTTTGGCGGGATTTCATTTTTTTGTTGTTGTATGGGCCATATTGTTCACCCAAAACGGAAAACAAAGGCAATGCATAACATTTTACTCCACGAACGTCGTCGACTCTCAGCGCGACAGATGCTTGGTGCTTGCATAATGACCGGAATGCCATATACAAAAGGTGCTCGCTTTCTTTCTCTTTGTGGAACTAAGCCCCTGTGAAGAGTGGTGTCATGAGACAACAGAGATTTTGTGACGATAAGATTAGAAGACTTAAAAGTATTTCCCTAATGCTGTCGAGAAAGTCCTTCAGTGGTTACTTATCCATTGATGCAAGATGGACGCACAGGCGAAACTCGCCAAGTTGTACAGTAACTGCGCTCGATGCTGTCACAAAAAGAGTTCTTGCATGCGTGAACATCAACCATATTGGTGGAAACAGACAGCATGCTCAGTATTCCGGAGCTTCCAACAATATGGAAAGTGCTGGAACTCGAATCATCTTGAAGCAATTAAAGAAATACAATATCTTGAAAGATGTTAAAGAGATTATTAAAGACCGATATAACAAAAGTGTCTCTGTCTTTAAAGAATTTGGCGTCTCTCATCTTGAAAGATTCGATCCAGGTCATGTATCAAAAATATCTCAAAAGATTTTACAAAGTTCTCAGCTTCTCATAAGACAGTTGAAGTTTTCAACGACAAGACTCAGAAGATTGAAAAAATAGAGAGACCTTTCTGGGGTCTGAATGCAAGCCTAAGTATGTGGCTTTGGTCATGTTTTGCCGAAGAAAATATTGACAAACGTACGAAAATGTGGGAGAATTGTGTCTACCATTACGTAGGCAATCATTCTTTTTGCGAACCGCACAATTACAAATGCTTTGAATGGCAAAAAGGTGTCAATTCGATCCAACTTCAATTCATGCTCTATGACTGGGTTCACAAATGGACACCCATAGTTTCCAAAGTTTCTTCCATTGGATCTACCTGCATGAATGAAGCGTTTAACTCCAAAAATGCATGCTATTTGGACAAATCAAGAGCCTGGAAGAACATTAACATTAGAGTTAACGTTGCAATCTTAGAATGGAATGATCCAGAGCATTTTCTCGGAGATATACAAAAAGTATTACATCTTCCCCCACTTCCAGAAGATTGTGTCAAATCATTTGAAGAGAATTGTTACTCCAAAATGATATTGAAACAAAAAACTGTTACAAAAGGTTCTAAAAAACAGAACAAATACAAAAAATCCATTCAGAGTGTACCAGGAGGAGATTATCAAGTTTTCAAGTCCGAATGGGAATCAGAAGACGAAGACATTGATGACTTTGATTAACGAAAATTACATTTTATTTATTGTTTTTGTTTTTAATTAAATTATTATTATGCTCATTTTCTTATTTTGATTTTTTCTCATTATGATATAAATAATTTATTAATGCATTTATCCAATAATTATGCTATGATATTTTTATGCCTTATTTCATTTCTCTTATATTTGATAATCTGGTAAAATATAGTTCAGACTATAATCATTTTAGATTATTGATATATTTATATAGGTTAGAATAAAATTAGTTTCATTTTCTACTTTTATTTTGAATTAATAATTTATAATATCAAATATTATGGCGTAACCTCTCCTTTAAAATACAGATATATATAGGCCTATAGAGTTTATTGGCACTCTCAAAACTCTAGAATTTTGAGTTTACTATACCCTTAATAATATTTTGAATTTGAAAAGGATTCGAAATATTTAAATTATTTGCAATGACCAAAAGGTTGCAATTAATGCAAAATCAATTCAATAATTGTAAAAATTAAGGGTGCACACGAGAGGATCATGTAAACTTCAGAATTTAGAACCTTATTTTTAGGCATTATCTTGGCTCCCTATTTAGGCTCGAAAAGCAAAAAATATCAAAAAATACAACTTGACTCCATTATGACCCTTTCATGGAGGTAGTTTTTATCCGCTAGTATTTTCCCTTTGAATCTCTTTACAATTCGAAATCAAATTCAAAACTCAGTAGAAGAAAGGAAGAATCGACTTACTACGGTTGTAATACGAATAAATACATATATTTAATTATTTTTATTTACATAATAATTGTTTGAAGCTCATATTCCATCAAATTTTTAAATAAAAACATTAAAATGTTGAAAATGTTCATATATTTTAATAGGTTTTTGGCACTTTATTGAGGAATTACTACATACATAGTCGAACTGAACTTGATATTTTGAAATTTAAATTATTTATCAAAATTAAAATTTAACTTGAAATTTATAATTATTTAGTCATATTTTGCATAATTCTAAGTAGATTTTGTAAAAAATCAAGAAAGAAAAATTTTAACGTGTTTTATTTTTTCTTTTTTATAATAATACATATTATTATATAATTAACATATTCATAATGTTTCACCCTTTCAAAAATATAATCCTCCTCCTCTCAAATAAACGTACATACGGGTGGCCTCTTTTTTCAAAAAATTAAAATTTGAAATTTTTGGCTCAAATATTAGAGATTTTTTCAACCTTCAACGATATATGTTGTCTATATCAGACCTCCTTTCTTTTTGATACTTAACATTGTTCCTAAATCTTAGCCGTTAAGGCTGTTCTGAAAATATTTTTTTTTCGAAAAAATTCAAAAAAATTCTTAAAATTCAAAAATCCCTTAATTCCTGAGGATTTTGGAAAAAAGTTTTTACATGAACATGTGTATATTATATGAAGTATATTGATAAGGTAAAAATCAAATTTTATTGAATATTCATCGAGAAAATAAACTAACGAATCCCTCAAAATTGAGAGGGTAATCCTCCTCCTCTCAAATAAACGTACATACGGGTGCACCCTTAACCAACAAGTAATTTGCCGCGAAAAAAAAATGAAATTTTTAACTTTCTACTTGCCAGAATTTCACTTGACATTTTTTCTGACCAATAGTTTTGCATTCACTGCAAGCTAGCAAATAATTTCATATTGAATTGTTTTCGAATTTAATGAAAAGTATTTCCAATAAAATTATTTCATAGTGAAACAAAGCTTTAATAGAGTGTTAATGAGTGGTGTATAAAAACTATGCCCTTAATGTTAAAGAATAAAAGTTAAGTAAAATAATACAGAATAATAAATGATTAATTCAGATTTTATGCTGGCTTTCATTTAAAATGAACATACTGAGATTATTTTAAGTTCCAATGCTAGTTCATATTAGTTTCAAAAATATAAGCGAAAATATTTACAATACAAAACAACAAAAACAAAAATTATTATACCGGCATCCCATTTTGTTGGGATTCTAGCATATGATCGATCACTTCTTTGCTATATTTTGCAAAAAGTGGATTAATTTCCAAAAGATCGTGAATTAGCTGTGGAGGAAATTGAACATGCAAAATTATATCTGTTGGCGAGAAAAAATGAGTGGGCCTCTCCCTTAATTCGATTTTAATTTCATGACGACCCAAACGCGTCGTTTTTATCTCATTACTAGCTGTTCCAAATACCATAACACGAGCAGGAAGTGCATTTGGTGGTTTGCGATTTGGAAAATTCTTTTGTATCAAAGCTTTATATGCGGCGAGAATTCTGAGTTTTAAGAATAAACTTCGTTGTTTTAGAACGAGTGGAGATGGTGCGTTGGGTTTAGGAGCCTGCTCTGCTTCTGCCCCTGGATTTTGACGTTTTAAACCTCTCCAATTAAGTTTTTTGCCATCTTTTTCTATTATTCCTGTAGCAGATAATACATTTATGACATCGTAAATACGTCTTCTTACTGTTTCTTGAGAAAATGAGTGCGGATTTTCTTGAATAAGGTTGTTAATTAAAATTGTTGCTATGCTTTCGGATGTCGTTTCTCCAAGCTCGAGTAATAGCTCAAGAAGTCTGGGAGCTAGTGCTTTTAGGCATACTTTATCTTTGTTCTCCGTCATGTAAATCGTTGTAAATTCCAATGGAATACTAAATGATAGATTCTTGGATAATTGAAAAGGAATTATGCTAATCGGATAGGAGATCTCAATTAATAAGGTATTTTCCTATGTTCCTGTTCAAATTTAATGTCTTGCTGCATCATAGACTAGTTGTTGCTTCGTCGTCGAACGTCCCATGTACAGCAAGTCAACTCGATATAAAATATTTATCATTTATCGATCACTCATTCACTAAATTCAATCAGTATATCTGTTTTCATGAAGAAAAACTTATTTTATTAAAATGAATCTAATATTCTGTATTTTATCAAATATCGATTACCATACTATTTGTTTTCCTTAATAAATCAATTTGATCCATCTAAAATTTGCATTATTCCTTTATTCAAACTATGAGAATATAAAAATGCTTTTATTTTTGTAAATGAAGTAATATTTATCATTAATTTATGACATTCTCTTTCTTTTCATATTTATTATTATTTAAGGGTCCACTGTAAGGCCAAATAAAGTCTATCGTCGTCCCAAAAATATTGCTCGAGATGGTGTTTTACTAAGGCCCAAAACTTAAAAAAACACAAAAAAATTAACTTTACTCTTTTGAGATCCTTATCAGATATGCATCAATTTGATGCAGTATCGCAGTTCAAATCTGATTTTTTAATGTAGATGTACTCTAACATCCTTTAAAAAATGCAAAATGATATTAATTAAGCTTTTCATTTCTGTATCATACACGAAACAAAATCGTTCATTATACTAAAATTTATCAAAGTTTGATTAATGAAAAAATAATATCTAAATTTTTACATTGAGTCGGCTATTGATATGGTTAATATTAAATCTTGTAAAAATTGGCATTATCCAGAATAATACCCACTAAAATACACAATTTTTTTTAAAAAAATTTTATCAATTGTTATGGTATATCTTTATGATAATGAATAAAATGCTTCTTTTTCATAAGTAAATACATAATTTATGCTTAAACACAAAAAATAACATGAAAATTTTTGGCCAACATATCTAAACTAAGGATAATGGTTTGAATATATAAACAATAATACTTTGTCCAGGGAATTAAATTTGTGCTATCCAATTGTCAATTCTTTGAATTTTTTTTAAATGCAAGATATCCCGGCATTAGCCTCAATAAATATATATATTATGCATCATAATATTAGTTTGTAATGGCATTAAAGCGAAATTCCTAATTTCTTCTCAATTAAATTCCTTGAAAAACATTGGAATTAATGATTGGAAATAGGTCAAAAAAATTCCTAATATAAAACTTATACTTAAGATAAAATTAAAATTCGAAAATATCTATTTTTCAAAACACGCATCCAAAAGCGAAAAAATTCGAAAAAATCATGTTCTTATAAAACTCACTGATTTTGCAATTTTTATGAGATTTGACGTGATAGAATATATTACCATCTTATTGAAACATATGCTTCATTGTTGTATTCACATAATATTAATCAGAACACTAGGAAAAGTGGATTTTCGAAAAATGACGATAACGATTATTTGCAAATCGCCTCTCAATTTTGAGAGACTTTCAATTTTTACAGTGGACCCTTAATTATATTCTCTTTCTTTTCATATTTATCATTGCTCTATTACATTATCTTTCTTTTCATGTTTATCATTGTTTATATGAGTTGTAATGAATACCTCATTATGTCAATTCTTAATGATTTTAGAGGCTGCAAAGTATTGATTCTACATCTACACTTAGCAGCTTCTAATTCCTAATTTGTAAGTGAAATTTCATTCATATATTTTTCGGATTTTTTGAAAAGTAACGGTTTTTTTAAAGAAATCAGACCATGGATGTGAATTATGAATACATTGGTGCTCATATCAGTGATTATATTAATAATGATAATTTTTTCAATATATATGAGATAAGAGATATCAAAACAATCCTGAAATATTCACGTATGACCGCTGATGAGTACGTTTCTTTTCTCAAACAATCTTCATCAACTATTGGTTCCAAAGAATTATATATCTGCTCACGGAAAGCAAATATTACTATCCAAAACATCGGAGAAGCTGTTTCAATTATTAAATCTGTCAAACAATATATGAAATTCAATATATTTGATGGTATTATTGATGTTTTAAATCAAATCATATCGAAATATATTTTACCTAGAATCTCTCAACTTAGGGAATCTGGCGATTTTGATACTGTTTACAAATTCCTTGATGAACTTTCTGCACAAAGAGATCATGAAACAATGTCAAAGGCTTGTGAACAAGAACTTTGGAAAAAAGACGACAATTACAGGAAATGTGTTTCATGTTGCAAGTATACAAGGAAATCTTAATCTTGTCAAATCTCTCATTGAATGTAATTGCGATAAAGAAACAAAGAATAATAATGGTTGTACTCCACTTATTTTGGCATCAACAAATGGCCAACTTGAAGTTGTTAAATATCTTATTTCTGTTGGAGCTGATAAAAATACAAAAGCCAATGATGGATGGACCCCACTCATTAGCGCATCATTTGATAATGACAAACCATTACCAAAACAAACAGAAAAGAAAGAAGAGCAAAAACGAGCCAACAAATCATTGTTTGATGAGGACGAACCAATTAAACCAGCTGAAGATCAGAGAGAAAAACGAGCCAAGAAATCATTGTTTGATGAGTACGAACCAATTAAACCAGCTGAAGATCAGAGAGAAAAACGAGCCAAGAAATCATTGTTTGATGAGTACGAACCAATTAAACCAGCTGAAGATTAGAGAGAAAAACGAGCTAAACTAAGCAAACGAACCAAGAAATCATTGTTTGATGAGGACGAACCAATTAAACCAGCTGAAGATCAGAGAGAAAAACCAGTCATGAAATCATTGTTTGAGATTCTCTATTCTAGCCAAATAATATAATGCAATCAAATTATATTAACAGTTAGATTTAGGGTGAACTTACCTATTTCTGACATTTTCTCACAAAATCAGTAAATTTTTATTCTCGAAAATCCTAATTTTAATAAAATAGGGCGAAAATTGAATGAGTGAAGCAGTTTTCAATTTTCGAACTATTTTGTAATTTTTGACCAAGATTGATAGCTTTACAAAATATGTTCCACATATCAAATTACAAATTTTAATAACATAAAAGTATAACAACCATTTACATTAATTTTTTCCGATGAAAAATATTATCTTATCATCTTATGCTAATGAAACATATAGTTAACCATTAATGGTTAGGATATACAACTGTTGGAAAACCCCGAAATTAAAAAAAAAACTCCGGTCCCTCTCAATTTTGAAAATTCAATATATCCATCAATATGAGATTTCATGACTTAGAATCAAAGTTATTATATTAGTGTAATATAAGCTATAATATTATATTATGATGCATGGCGTAGCATTGCTATAAAATTAAAGAAACAAATATCAAACCAATTTTTTATTTAGTCTTCATCTTCTTCTGTTTTGAACTTTCTTGTACGAGCGCAGCGTCCTTTCTTCATTAATCTTCTTCTTGATGTTGCTTCTACACCTTCCTCTGGTGTCTCAGTCTTTGCTGCCGCTGAGTCATCGTCAGCTGGTGCTGCTGGTTTTCTTGGTCTTGGTCCTCTCATTGGCATTGGAGCTCCCATTATTCCTCCTGCCATAGGACCTTTGACTAAACCTGCGAGTGCAGCGATCTTAGAGTTAACTTTGTTTCCTCCTGTCGCTGATGTCTTCGCTTCTTGTTTAGGTGATTGTGCTGATTTCTTTGGTGATTCATCTTCGTCAAACAATGATTTCTTGGCTGGCTTTGGCTTTGGAGTGTCATCTTCTTCATCGAAAAGTGACTTTTTAGCTGGTTTTGGCTCTGGTGATTCATCATCTAGCAAAACTGCTTTGGTGCTGGCTTTGCAGTTTCCTCCTTCTTCGGAGATGCTGCTAGTTTGGCCTTTGGTGCTTCGTCTTCGTCATCATCAAATAATGATTTCTTGGCTGGTTTTGGTGTTTCTTCCTTCTTTTGTTCAGCTGGTTTTGGTGAAGCAGAGAGTGGCTCGTCTTCGTCGAAGAGCGACTTCTTTGCTGGCTTTGGAGATTCTTCCTTCTTTGGTTCTTCTTTCTTTTGTTCTGTTGGTTTAGTTGATAATGGTTCATCATCATCAAATAAGAACTTTTTAGCTTGTTTTTGGAGACTCTTCCTTCTTTGTTTCTGTTGGTTAAATTATCCAATCATCGAATAGAGGATTTAACTGAGATATTTGACACGAATTTACATGTCAGGAAAAAATCATTGAAATGGGAGAATTGACTCCAATTGAGCTTGCTTATATAAAAGAGAAAACAGAGGCACTATACGATCACCCATTAGCTTGTATATTCCGTCATCCTGTTGATCCTGAGCATGATGCCCCAGATTATTTGGATGTTATCTCACATCCAATGGATTTAGGCACAGTAAAAGAAAAATTAAATAAAGGAGGATATAAAACATCTGCAGATTGGTATAAAGAAGTTTCACTTGTATGGGCAAACGCCAAAAAATATAATAATAGCAAACAATCCTTAATTTGGATGGCTGCCGATATTTTACAAAAAGAAGCTGCAGAGTATTATTCACATATACCCAAAACAGAAATAGATCAATGGTCTCTAAAGATTTTTGAATTATCCAAAGAAATTGAACATTTACTATCAATTGCTCCACATGAATCTATTATTCATGCACAACCTGAACTACTTCAAAAAGTACAATAAAGATTTGTTATTTATACTTTGTTATTAAAAATTAAACTAACTTTTTAATACTAAACTCATTAAAAAATAATTGATACTTGATGATTCCAAGAGAATTCATTCATTTTTTAAAGAATGATATCGATATAAAATAAAAAGCTTAAAAACAATAATAAAACTCGCCGAGAATTTTATTAAGATAAATAACATAATTAGATGAAAGACAAGATAATGAATTATAAGTCAGATTCAACACTTTCTGCTAATTTAAGAAATTCGATGCAAACTGGATCGCGCAATAGCTCGGCCATATTTGCTTTGTCAAATGCATGGCATTCAACGTTCTTGTATAACCAGCAGAAATGAGATTTGAGATTATCATCCCAATGAGCGCGATATTTGAGCATGCGTTCTACCAGAGTACAGATGCCTTCTCTATCAACTTCAGCAACTTTATCAACGCGATCAGCAAAGATTCCTGCAATTGATGCGAGTTCCCAGTCAATTGTGCCGAATGGGAACTTCGAAGCAAGTGCCACAAGTGATTTAAAGGCTCCTCTGAAACAAAGACCACCTGTTGGAGTGTTAATTGCAGTGACCATGAGATATAAGCAAAGTTTATCAACTTGTGGGTCATGGCATGACTCCATTGTATTGAGAATTGTTTGCATGCGGCATTTAAACATTGTTTCATTGCCATGAACAACAAGTTCACGTGCAAAACTTACTAAGTAGAAAATATAACGTTTGAATTTAAGTTCTTTGCAGCGAAGGTTAATAAAATCGACTCTATCAAGTGTTAAATCGAATAAATTATTTTTAATGCATTGTTTAACTGTTAAATCTCTGGTTGTAGGATCGTTTAGATATTGTGTGAGATTCGAAATCATTGATGTTGTTGTTGTTTCTTCCATGTGATCAGTTGTTAGCATTGTTTTCATTAATTTTGCTCTTTTTACGATTTCTAAATCAATTGGATTAACCTTTTTAGGTTCTGGCGGTGGTGCCGTTACCAAAATGTATACAATTGGTAATAATGAAAGCAATAATAATGCTTTAACATAAGCAATTAAGAATGGAAGAACTTTCATTTTTGTCACTTTTTTAATTCCATATTTCATATCTCAGTAAGATGAATATCTATTTGATTGGTATCATTTTTTGGTCCATTTAAATGTTTTTATACTATGTTTGGAGATTATTTTTGCCCTTCTTTGTTGTTATTGCCGAGTTAATGCACTTTTGATTGACTATTTGATTTCGAGTATAGAATTTTAAATATGTTAATCATATAGTTTTAATGTAAAGGATTGTGATGTGAACGTGCGTCTAAACAATGTTTGATATCAAATCTCAAAATCAGATTTATCTAGATTTAGATTTCAAGAATAATTGCATTCATCACAAACCACATTTCTTTAAGATGGCCTATTAAGCAAGTAAAATAATGAAATTGCACAACAAAATGATAATTATTGGCGAAATGTTAAAAATATTAATGATCAAGCAAAAAATATATTCTTTTAAATTAACAAATATCATGATAATAAACAAACATTAGTATATTTTGATAAAAATAAAAAAAATCAAAGATAAAGCCAATATTTTTCTATAAATATTTGACAATGCCTTTCAGAATCTTGCTGGACCAAGTACTTCTTTGAATGAAATACTTTCTGAAATAGAATTTTTAAAAGTTAGGAATTTGTTGATGAATTGTAATGAAAAATAGTTTTTGAAAAAATACAAATTGTATGATATAGTGGAATTGAAAGTAATTTGGTAAATTCGAAAAATATAATGAAATATCCAATAGTAGAAACAAAACTAATGAATATGTAAGATAAAATTTTGTTTTGTGTCATACTTCTTGTGAATAAAACATATCTAAAAGCATTAAAACAAAAAAAATTATAATAAAATGCAACAACAACTTTTGTTAATAACTGGTTCTTGCGATTTAGGTTCTCTTGAACTGTTTAATGCATTTCCATCAGGGCGACCGCTGTGAATTCTATATGATATAGGTTGCATGTCAACAGTATCAGCACTTGAATCTTTAATTTGAATGTTTGGTTCAAGAGGAATCAGAGGCACATCATTCGGCGTTTCTTCTGTGAATTCTGATGTTGAAGTTTGGGGTAAATTCATAAAAAGTGACAAAAATAAAAATAGGGATAATAGTAACGAGTTTGGAAATATCATACAAGCAAAAAAAGATTGCATTACCTCATGGTATTCCATTAGAAAGTATTTCATTGGACGTACTTCAAGAATCGATATATTTGTTCCATGATGATTATTTTTACATTCGGAAAAGGATCTACAATTGAAGTCAGTGATGATTTAAAACTCAACATGGAATTCAGATATTTCTTTAAAGATAACGAAAAAAATAAATATTTTACTTAAGTTTATTCATCAGAATATGAATAATCCGAGTAAGAGTAATATTCAGTTGAAGATGATAATTCATTTTTATTAGTGTCAGCTGGTATAAAATTGCTATGATTCTTTTCATTTGAAATAGATTCATTAGCCGGATCATTGTATGAAATATTTGGGTCAATCATCTTTCGAACTTCGATTTCTTCAGGAGAATTGCAATTTGAAAGACATGATTTGGCTAATTCTATATGTTTTTCTTGAATTTTGGTTAATTTTATATCGAGAATATATTTTATTATATTGAATCTTTGATTAGAAATTGCAATTGTTAGAAAGTTTTCATCAACATTTTGATTGCGAGGATATTGAAGTAAAATCGTGAAAATGTCAAGGTGTCCAAGCATGACGGATCTCAAAATAGGAAGATCATTATTTGATGATTGTTGAGTAGGAACAGCATCGTTTGTAATTAAATATTTAATAATTTCCAAATTGCCCGAAGAAACAGCGAGGAAAACACAATTTTCATTTTCTCTATCAGTATACAATGTTGAAAAACCAAGTGATACTAAATGCTTGATTAATTCGAAGTTGCCATTCTCGCATGCAATTAATAATGCGTTCTTTCCTGAATTTTCATTAACATAATTAGCATCTAAGCCATTCGTAACTAGAAAGTCAAATATTTTTATACAGCCGCTGATCGAGGTACAAAGAATTGCATTATCTTTCATTGAATTAATAGCTGCTTTGTTGCATCTGTTGTTGATAAGAGATTCCACAAGAATGTAATTGTTCTTCAAACACGCAGAAAGAAGAATTGTATTTTGTTGATCATCAATAGTTTCTGATAATCCAATTGTACATGCAACTTTAATTGTGTAGCTATCATTCATTTCAGCCTTTTGAGAAAAGAAGTTATAAATATCATCAAAATTGTTTTGTATTTGAAATATATCTAGAAATTTCTGAATTGAAATTTCTCTCGTTTGATTAGATTGTAAAATTTCACAAGTAATGGAAACAAATGACATTAGTTGGGCATTCTGAGTTTTAATCTCCAATGGATTCCTCTCATTAATATTGATAAACTTTTTGTTCATTTCCAAAATAATTGTGTGATATTCTTTATACTCATCATTCTTGACCAAATCAATTATGCTGCTCATTGCTGATGGTTTTATTTTCTCAACATCCATCTTTTCAATTAAATAACCAAAAATGCTACTATCATTAATCAATTCGAGCAAAAAAATGTACAAATGATCAACATATTTTTCATTTTGAAAATGGCCAAGTTGTTCGCATTGAGATATGATTCTATCAATGAAATCTTGATTATCACGCAATTGACATACACCTACTCTGCAGAAATCAATGAGCTCATTAATTTCAATATTTATAACATTTGTTCCAATGAAATTTATTATATTTTCGAGAAGTTCATTGAGATTGATTGATAGAGATTTTGGTAAGATTATCTGATCTTCATGAGTTCTTTGAATAAAAGTTAAATATTCTATAATTTTATCAAACGAAATATTTTTCACGTTAATTGTTGAGGAATACCATATTATGAAGTCCTCAATTTCTAGTTCAAGACCGATTTGATAGAGTTCTTGTATCATTTCATCATTATAATCATTGACAGAGACTTCGCTTTTTAAAAATAATTGAATAAGGATATCAAAAGTGCGATCATTAACTGAACTTATTTTAATTTCCTTAATTATATCACCTCTCAGAAAATCTCTCCAGACTTTTCTGCTGAAAGATCGGACGAGTTTTAATGATACTATTGCTTCATGTTTTCCATCAATTAATTTGACTTGACTGTCTCGATTTAAATCTTCTGTGAGTTTTCTATGAGCAAGTGTAGCTACTAATGCATTCATATTTTGACAAATATTGGATTTTGTGATTTTATGGTTATTTTATGGATATATGTGAATTTTGTGAGGATTCTACAGCAACGCAATAATATTTTATACATGTCTGTCCAGACCTAATTTTCATCAAAATTTATAATAAATTTGGCGGTCCAATGGCAAAATCACAAATAAAAATTCGCGAAATTTGAATACAAATGCTTTTTAAAAAAGTGTTTGTATGGATTTCGAGAATCCTAATTTTCATAGTAAAAAATTCATTAGCCAAATAAAAAATTCTTTCACTCATTCAAATTTACTCATAATATGCAAATTTCAGACTATTATTTATATCTGATTTTGAAGCATAAAATAATAGTTCCTTTCATAGATTTTCCATTTTTCTGTTTAATATCTATTAAATTGATGACATTAATGATTGCTTGATTTATTCACCAATGTTTGATATTCTATCCTTAATCGAATATTTCGTTTCACTTGGCGTAGATAACAATGCAAAAGATGGTGATGAACTAACTGCACTTCATATGGCAATCGGCTTGACACTTTTTACAGGCTTATAAAATAAGCACGTAAAAAGTATCAGAACCTATTAAAATATGTATTCACATTTTTATCGGCTTGCAGCTTTTCAGAAAAAGTGTGAAACATATTTTGAATATTAAGGCGATCGAATTTTTGCTTTCACATGAAGAAAATAATCATTATGTAGTAATTGATAGTTGATAAAAACTTGTCACTTATTTTATAAAAATAAGGTTAATTCTGAGTTACCAAAGAATGCAATAAATTGTGATTACAAAAATTGAGAGTCATTTTTTTCCAATGAATTTTTAAAGGTATTTGTTATTATTTGTTCTATGTGTTCAAGATGGTATTGAATATAGCAAAGATGGTCGAGTCCTTATCCGTGCTCCAGATGGTTTCAGTGGTGATGTTGTTATTCCTAAAGAGGTTGTCACAATTGGAACCAGTTCAGAACTTGTTGGGAGTCCATTCTTCAAATGTAAAGACAACATTCGATCACTATCATTCTTCCCTTCATCACAAATTCAAAACATCTGCAGTTTTTGTTTCAGTCAATCCTCATTAGAAAGTGTTGATATGCAATATTGCACATTATTAACATCCCTAAATAACTCTGTCTTCAGATTTTGCACAAAACTCCAGTCTGTCACTCTTCCACCTAATATTGTTGAAATAAAAAGTGGATGTTTCAATGCAGCTTCTTTATCTTCTGTTTCCATTCCAGATTCATTAGAAACTATTGGCGAATGGACATCAAAAGATGGAGGTGTTTTTGCAGGAAGTATTTCCTCAATCACGATCAATCCGACATCAAAACTAAATAAGATAGGAAGTGGTGCCTTCTCTAATTCAAAATTAAGTTCAATTTACATTCCAAAATTAGTTACCATTTTAATTCCTTCATGTTTTGAAAAAGTTCCGTTAGAGACAATAATAATTGATCCTGCAAATAAATTCTTCAAAGCTGATAAAATGTCTATTTTTGGCGGAAATAATAATAATACTTTATTATTCGTTTCTGTTCGTTATACAGGAGCATATACTGTTCCTAGTTACGTAACAAATATCGCCTCTCAAGCCCTCAAATATAATAACATGGAAAGCATTAGTATCCATAGTGAAGTCTCTATAATTGGTGAATGGGGTTTTGCAGGATCGAATTTAGTAGAAATTGTGTTGCCAGAAAAAATACATATAATTTCTCCATATCTTTTTGAATTGTGCCAAAATTTGAGAAGTGTGAAGTTTTCAAGTGCATTAACAAATATCGAAACAAGTGCTTTTTATGGATGCAGTTCACTAACAAGCATCGTGTTCCCACAAACATTAGTCGGTATCGGTGAGTCTGCGTTCTATGGATGCACAAGTCTCGTCATCAATTCAAGTCAGAATTCTAATTTCAAGTATGAGAACCAGATGCTTCTCACTGACCAGAAGACGACGATCTCCGAATTCTTTGGTGATAACTCTAACCTCGAAATCACAGCACCTCTCGGAACTACGACAATTGGTTCACGAACATTCATGAACAAACATCTGAAAACTATCAAATTCCAAGGCAACACGCTTACTCGTGTTGGTGATTTGTGTTTTACATCTTCAACTATCCAGAGTATTTCATTTCCCGATAGTTTGAGCATCTTAGGAACCAACTGCTTTGAAGGGTGCCAATTTCTGACAAGTGTTTCTTTCTCTAACGCATGTCCTATCACAGAGATTCCAGAAAGGTGTTTTTACAGCTGCAAGAATCTTCAGATCTTGACATTACCAACGTCTATTACTACATTGAAGTCATATGCATTTTTCAACTGCATCAGCATCAGCGACATCGGTCTTAGCAACACACACGTTTCTGTAATCGAAAATTACTGTTTCATGAATTCAGGAATCAGATCTCTGTCTTCATCCTCTAAGATATCATTAGGCTATGGCAGTTTCACTAACAGCAATATTTTTGAAGTCAATATCAAGACAGAGTCTATTCCAGAAGAATGTTTCAAAAACTGCAGTTCACTCACATCATTGACACTTAACGAAGGCATCACTTCCATCTTAGACTCATCATTCCGTTCATGCATCTCTTTATCTTCATTCACCATTCCATCCAGTGTTAAGACTATCCGCTTCTACGCATTCATGTCATGCACACAGTTGAAGACTGTCACGTTGTCTCTTCACAGCGAGATTAGCGAGATCAACGGCGGCACGTTTGCCGACTGTCCTCTTTTGCAGTCCATCAAACTTGATCCAGATGACAAAGAGTTCAAGTTCAGCAACGGTGCTCTCACATTCTACAACAAGACTAAGATCATCACATTCATTCCAAGCAGCAACATCCAGACATTCGTTGTTCCATCTGCGATGGAGAGTATCGGCTCATGCTCATTCTACAATTGCATCAATCTTGTCCGCGTCATTTTCAGTGGCAGCCGTATTAATACTATTGACTACATGGCATTCTATGGTTGCAGTAAGCTTTCATACATCTTCCTTGGCACTGATACGCACGTCACATCCATTGGCACAAATGCCTTTGAAGGATGTTTTCTTCTCAACAGATGTGGTTCAATCACATGTCCATCTGTAACAATTCCTTTATTCGAAGAACATAAAATATCTAAAACATCATTTCTAACAGACTGTGACTACTTCTGTCAATCACTTAACAATGCTAAATCTTCTTTCATCTCACCAATAAGCTTAATCACTCCTTTCATACTCATGTAATATTATAAAAATTTTTTATTCATTATTCTATCCTTTATAAATTAAAACAATTATTTATTTTTTGATGTATATTAACTGAACATTTTACAAGTCTCACATATGATAAGACTTATCAATAAAGCATTAATATCAAATAGGTTATAACAAAATGCTGCAATTAATACATAATAGAATACAAATCAGCGGCATAAATCTTTGTAGCACATTTGTTTCAAATCAACGAATTATGAATAAAATATTATTAATTTGATGTGCATTATGTGGGCCTTTTAGAAGTCATACATATGATAAGGCTTATAAATGATTTTTCAATGAAGCATTATACATAGTTTTTCATTTCCCAATTAATGATTTGAAAACTAGAAAGCTTAGTAGAATTTCAAATTAAGAATTGCTTTTGGCAATTATCAATCTTTACCAATCTTTACCCATCTGAGATATGTTAATTTGGGAGTGTTATAATAATTGCGCCTTTTTCAATTGCATTAAAACTTTATTTAGTGTTTTCAAGCCCAAAAAATAGATATTTAGTATTTTATTTAGTCAAGTCAAAATTTCAAATGAATGATTATGAAGAATGTCTTCAGCTTTATTTAGAAAATTTAGGTTTTCAGGATTTTGTTACAGATGAAAATGATGTAATCGATTTAGTTGATCATGTTATCTTAAATAAAGCACAATTTAAACAAATTGTTAAAATTATTGATTCTCTTTTCCAAAAAAATTCGGTTTTGAACATTGTTAATCATATTAAAACAGAAAATGAACCTTTAAACAATTTATTAGTTGAAAAATACGAAAAAATTATCAAAAAGAAAGAATTTCGCGAATCTTCTTTCACATCAATTTATCCAAACTTGGACGAATATCCAGATAAAGTTAGATTATTTTCATGCATTCGATTAAGCCAAGAAGCAGCAAAGGAGTTACAAAACTTGCGTGATAAACTTAATTATTATTATAATTATTATTACAAACACGATAATGATTTCCACATTACTGTATTAGATTATTTTGAGATTCCGAAGTCCGAAATCAAAAGAATCCATGAAACAATTTTGGAAGCCGCTAAGAAAACACATCAATTTGAACTTGAGTTTTCTGAACTCGGAAAGTTCGATCTTGCACATCCAGGCGGTCTCTCAGTAATTCCTTACGGTACAGGAATACCAAGTTTCAAAAAACTTCAGCACGACTGTCTAGATGAGTTCAATAAAGTTTTCAAACAAACCATTCGTATTCCTAAACCACATATATCAGTTGCTTTGAAATATAATGGCAACAAAGACACTGCACAAAATGCAAAATATTCTGATTTTAAAATTCGAAAAATATCTTTCAAAGTTACAAAATTTGAACTTGTTGTGTCAAATTACAACACACCACAGAGATATTGGACGATTTATTCATATAAGCTCAAACCATAGATTTCTCTGAGAGTATTAGTTATTAGTTTATTTAAACGTTTTTAAACAATTTCTAATTTTTTTTATGGTTACTCAAGTTTTCTAAATTACTTAATCGATACACATCAAAAAATAAATAATTGTTTTAATTTATAAAGGATAGAATAATGAATAAAAAATTTTTATAATATTACATGAGTATGAAAGGAGTGATTAAGCTTATTGGTGAGATGAAAGAAGATTTAGCATTGTTAAGTGATTGACAGAAGTAGTCACAGTCTGTTAGAAATGATGTTTTAGATATTTTATGTTCTTCGAATAAAGGAATTGTTACAGATGGACATGTGATTGAACCACATCTGTTGAGAAGAAAACATCCTTCAAAGGCATTTGTGCCAATGGATGTGACGTGCGTATCAGTGCCAAGGAAGATGTATGAAAGCTTACTGCAACCATAGAATGCCATGTAGTCAATAGTATTAATACGGCTGCCACTGAAAATGACGCGGACAAGATTGATGCAATTGTAGAATGAGCATGAGCCGATACTCTCCATCGCAGATGGAACAACGAATGTCTGGATGTTGCTGCTTGGAATGAATGTGATGATCTTAGTCTTGTTGTAGAATGTGAGAGCACCGTTGCTGAACTTGAACTCTTTGTCATCTGGATCAAGTTTGATGGACTGCAAAAGAGGACAGTCGGCAAACGTGCCGCCGTTGATCTCGCTAATCTCGCTGTGAAGAGACAACGTGACAGTCTTCAACTGTGTGCATGACATGAATGCGTAGAAGCGGATAGTCTTAACACTGGATGGAATGGTGAATGAAGATAAAGAGATGCATGAACGGAATGATGAGTCTAAGATGGAAGTGATGCCTTCGTTAAGTGTCAATGATGTGAGTGAACTGCAGTTTTTGAAACATTCTTCTGGAATAGACTCTGTCTTGATATTGACTTCAAAAATATTGCTGTTAGTGAAACTGCCATAGCCTAATGATATCTTAGAGGATGAAGACAGAGATCTGATTCCTGAATTCATGAAACAGTAATTTTCGATTACAGAAACGTGTGTGTTGCTAAGACCGATGTCGCTGATGCTGATGCAGTTGAAAAATGCATATGACTTCAATGTAGTAATAGACGTTGGTAATGTCAAGATCTGAAGATTCTTGCAGCTGTAAAAACACCTTTCTGGAATCTCTGTGATAGGACATGCGTTAGAGAAAGAAACACTTGTCAGAAATTGGCACCCTTCAAAGCAGTTGGTTCCTAAGATGCTCAAACTATCGGAAATGAAATACTCTGGATAGTTGAAGATGTAAAACACAAATCACCAACACGAGTAAGCGTGTTGCCTTGGAATTTGATAGTTTTCAGATGTTTGTTCATGAATGTTCGTGAACCAATTGTCGTAGTTCCGAGAGGTGCTGTGATTTCGAGGTTAGAGTTATCACCAAAGAATTCGGAGATCGTCGTCTTCTGGTCAGTGAGAAGCATCTGGTTCTCATACTTGAAATTAGAATTCTGACTTGAATTGATGACGAGACTTGTGCATCCATAGAACGCAGACTCACCGATACCGACTAATGTTTGTGGGAACACGATGCTTGTTAGTGAACTGCATCCATAAAAAGCATTTGCATAGATATTTTTTAGTACACTGGAAAACTCTACACTTTTCAAGTTTTTACAGTTATAAAAAAGATATCCATTAATATTCACAACTTTTTCAGGGAGAACAATATTAACTAGACTTGATTCGCCGAAGCACCATCCGCCTATAGATGAAACTCCACTATGAATAGAAATACTTGTTATTTTACTTTTCCTAAAAGCTTGATCTAAGATAATTGTAACATAACTTGGAACTATATACATTCCAGAAAATTGAATGGATACATAAACGAGGGTATTATTATTGCTTCCACTAAAAAGAGAGAGACCATCAACTTTGAAGTTAGGATTCTCAGGATGGATCTCTATTCTCTCAATCGGATCGCCAACAAAACAAGAAGCTGTTATTTCTGAAATATATTTTGGAATGTATATGGATCTTAATGGGGAAAATGAGAAAGCTTCACCTCCAAACTTTTTTAGTTTTGAATTAGGAGTAATAGATATCGCAACGATGCCTCCTGAGAAAACACAACCATCTTTTGAGGTCCATCCGCCAAGAAATTCCAATGAATCTGGAATGGAAATAGAAGACAAAGGAGCACAATTGAAACAGCCACTTTTTATTTCAACAATATTAGGTGGGAGGATTACAGATCGGAGCTTTAGGCACAGACGAAAAATAGAGTTATTTAGGGATGTTAATAATGTGCAATATTGCATATCAACACTTTCTAATGAGGATTGACTGAAACAAAAACTGCAGATGTTTTGAATTTGTGATGAAGGGAAGAATGATAGTGATCGAATGTTGTCTTTACATTTGAAGAATGGACTCCCAACAAGTTCTGAACTGGTTCCAATTGTGACAACCTCTTTAGGAATAACAACATCACCACTGAAACCATCTGGAGCACGGATAAGGACTCGACCATCTTTGCTATATTCAATACCATCTTGAACACATAGAACAAATAATAACAAATACCTTTAAAACATCATTGGAAAAAATAACTCTCAATTTTTGTAGTCATCTCAAATTGTTGCTATGGTTACTTACTCGAAATTATGCATCTTGATATAGTTTCTGATAGAATATGCATTTGATGCTCTAAAATTCTAAATATAGAATCAAATTGTTATTTTAGACTAGAGTTTCAAAGTTTATTTATTGGTGGTTGTTTCTGCATTATTTCAGCTGCTTAATAATCATTTCCGAAGCTTAGAATTTCAGATAGAGAAATGAATGAAACATCTGATTTTCTAAACATCATTACAAGGAATGAGTTTGTATTAGGTAGCAAAAGTCCTCTTTCTCTATCCGTTAATTTTCCAATATGTTCTTTAGCTTATTCCTCAAAAGAAATCTCGATATTTGATTTAGAAAAGTTAACAACAAAAAACATTACTCGACAATCAGCTCCATTAGACTCTGTTATCATATGTTCAGATATAAGTCCTAATAAAAACCTGGTAGCTACAGGACATAGCGATGGAGAAATAGTTATTTGGTTAATTGATGATCAAAATATCTTAATTACTACAAAAACAAATGATACTGTCATGCAAATTCGATTTATCAATCAAAATACGTTAATTCACTCAGATTCGAATGGCATCGTTTATACATCGACAATTTCCACAAAATTATTCAAGAAACAAATTACTACAGTCCAATTATATGACTTCTTACAGCCTTTAACATGTCTTTCTGTATATAATTCCCAAATATTTTTATCAACTTCTTCAAACATCCATGTTTTCAAATTAACGCCTGCATTTCAAATGATTTATGAGTCAGATAGCTCTGCATTACAATTTTCTTTCTCTAAAGATACAATTGCTTGTATTAATGGTCATTCTGTCACTTTAATGACCACAGACTGTAAGCCGATAAAGCAAATCAAGTTTCATGGCACACCGCAGTCGATTGCTGTCATTGATGACGTTACAACTCTCGCAATTTACAATGGAACTTTGGAATTGATCATTGGATCCCAAGTATTCAAAGGAGCTGCTCCAAATGGATTGAGCTACTCTTCAGGCGATAAAATAATCGTTGTTGGAAATAAGATTTTTATTTGCACATTAGCAGATGTTAAAGACAGAGTGAATGCTCTCATCAAGAAGGATAATTGGTCAGATGCATTTTCTCAAATTATTTCAAACAATGTTCTTGATTTGAGAAAATATTTGATTATGTATTCAAAATCAGAGAAATTTGATATTAATTTATTGTTCTCTACATGCATAAGACTTGAATGCCTGGACTTCCTTTTAGATTTGCCGTTTGATAACGAAAAGAATGAAATGATTGTCAAATATTTGATCGAAAGCAAGAAATTTTCAAACATTGAGATACCAAGAAAGATTATTGAGAAAATTTTCAATTCTGATTTGATCAAAAATATCAAAACTCAAAATTCGTCCGAAAATCAAAATTCTAATGATAAAAATTCTTCTGATGTTAACACTGATAATAATAATGAGCAAAATCAAAATACCGAAAATGATAATAAAAATACCAAACAAGAAAACGAAAAATCAGAAGGTGGAATTACTGAACAAAGCATCTGTGAATATATTATGAGGTCTCCTTTGAAATTAAACACAATTGATACAATATTATACGAAAGTATCACGAAATTACCTCGACTCGCAAGTGATTTGTGTTTATACTATCTTGGAGACTTATATTTATCCTTGCTGCTCAATACTTTGTACAAAAACTGGTCATTAATTATCCAAATTCTCAAAGAAATGTTAATTAACAACACTACTCAAACCAACATCAAGAATTCCATAGAGTACTTGATCACTGAAGATATTAAAGAGATAACCAGTCAATATCCAGACGAAATGGACGAAATTTTCTGTACCGCGATTTCATTAGACCACAGAACTCAAGAACTCTGTGAAATGACCATGCCGAACATTAGATTAGACAGTACTTGCTGGGATCTGATCACTTCCTCCATTCTTATTGGCAAAATTGAGATCACAGACAACAATTTTTATTTAATTTTTGCTTTTTTGAGTTTGCAGAACCAAAGATTGTTCAAACTCAGACAAGAAGTGCTTAAAATTATTCTCAAGAAGGATAAAGTTAACAAGAAACATCTTTTGGTCTGTTCTCAGCTCGGAAACTTCCAAGAAATCGAATTCGAAATCATCAAAAAACTTCAAAATCCAGAAATTTTGATTTTATCACTTATTGATCATAAACTGACTTCTTACAAAGATCTCCTTAAAGAAACAGTTAAAGACAAGATCAATGATTGTCTGTTGATGTATTACAGATGGTTAATTCGTCTAAATGCACAAGAATTCAGTGAATTATGCATTGAAACACAAAACATGAATTTCATTTACCAAATTCATAAAACATTGTTATCAGACAAAGTTTGTCACTGGCATTTCCTGAAGTACTTGTTTTTGAGTGACTGGGCATGCTATAATTCCAATGATGAGATGATTTTCAGCTATTTAATCTATCTTTCTAAATATAATCCACAAAAAATTGTTTCCGAAATTCCAAGAATGAAAAGTATTCCTCTGGAAAAACTTCTGAAAATTGTGTTGGATAACGGTATCCTTGATTCAGCCCTTTTAGTCTGCCAGTTACTCGGTGATTATGATAAAGCAGCTGAAATCGCTGAAAAAGGAATAATCGACGCAATGATGAACGATGATTATGAAATTGTGAACAGAGTTACTCAATTTTTATCGTCTTGTGATACAGAAGACTTCAACAAGATTTGGATGATGTGTTTCAACTCATTCCAATTGCCATTGTATAGCTTTTATAACGATGATCAGAAAATAACTGAAATTACAAAAGTTTTCAGCTATTTCATAAAAGCAATGACATTGGTGATAGACCCTGCAATAATTGCTGATGAATTTACGACAAAGTTTTCTTTCCTTCCTTTCAAAGTGGCCAAGCCAATAATCGCTGCTTTCTACAATGCCATCCGCGAAAGAAACGAGTTCGGAAGGACATTGTATAAAATAGAAAAAGATGAATGTTTGAGAAACCAAATTTATTTCATGAAAGATACAATTAGAGGAAGAAAGATTGATTCAAGGGTTTGTGCGAAATGCCACAAGAAATTAGGTAATGGAGATGCAGTTGTTGCTAAATGCTGTCATGTGTTCCACTCTGATTGTTCTTTGGATGGTTGGTGCCCAATTTGCAACAGAAGATTCGAAATTATCAGCAAAGATCAGTTTGTTTCTCAAAGCCAGATCTTGAAACAGTTCGATCATAAGGAAATTAATGTAGAGAAATCAAATGTGAAGAAAAGAAGCAATGGTTCTGATAAATTACTCCAACAACCAACAATTGGAGAAGTTGTTGTTCCTCTTAATAATATTAAAAACTTTTGATTAATGCTTTATTGTGATTACAAATTATTAATTTTTTTTAATAAGGATTTATACTTACCGGACTCTGGTATTCTCTCATAAAATCAATGAATCCTTAATCTAATAGCAAAAAAAATTGATTAATTGAAATTGAATAGTGATTTGTAAAAGTATTAAGTATACCATCAACGACATATTACCCAAATTTGACACGGCCTTCAGTTCTCCATAAGAGATCCTTAGTGTATATATATATATATATATGTCCTCTAACCTAATTTTTCATATAATTGGAGAACTTATGATTTGAGCAACAAGTTTCCATAATTTATTAGGTAGTATTGAAAATTTCAATTAAAATATGATTTGAGCAACAGATAACTTATTAAAAATGTACTAAATGAAAATAGAACGATAAAATAAAACACATATTTACAAAAAAATAAATAAAAGAAGTAGAAAATAAAATTATTTTCCATCATAGTAAGCAATGATACCAATTGCCGCAAATGTAGGGTTATTAAGCAATAATACCTTCGAATCACCTCTTGAAACTATTGATTGTGTGATGAATCTTAATAATTGGTCATCTGCCTCAGAAATCTGAAGTTTACCCAGGTATTCACGCAGTTTTGTCGCATTTTTCGGAACATCTCTTGAAAACGATGCGTAAAGTTTAATAATTTGGTATGAAAAATCTTTGACTCTTTCAAACGCAACAAGAAGAAATGAGGACTCGGAAGACACTGTAAAATCAAATAATTTGTAGACGGATGACGAGCATGGACAAATCGGACCTTCATAATAACCATAATCAGTATTTAGTATGCAAATGTTCTCTGTTCTGTCTCGTTTGAACTGGGGAGTGACAACAATCGAATATTGATATGCATCAACTGATGTAATTGGAGTTTCGAAAATATGAATATGTCTATCTGTAAATTGAGGGACAAATAAGGACATTTTCTTCGCAAGGAGATGTAAATCTTGAGGTCTTTTGGCTTCTATGACCAAAGAGTGTCCAGAGAAAAGACAATAAGCGATATGATGCAAAATTTTTGGTTTTACAAGGTTAATGAGTAAATATCTGTCATTGTTAAGCTCTTTTCTATTTTCTAAGACAAATGATGGGAAATCTGAATAGTTTTCGCCACTTATGTGGCCAAAATTGACGAATGGGAATCTTTCTTCGTATTTAGCATGGGTTTTTATTTGGCATGATATCTGTGAACGATAGAAATCACCTAAAATAACACGAAGTTTAGTTGTAAGTTCGTTTAAGTCAATAATTTTTTCGATAGCTCGTAAATCGTTGTTTATTTGAGTGAAATAATCAGGTGTTTTGGCTTCTTGAGATTTATCTGGTAATATTTCTCTACCATTGAGTAGGAACGTAGCCTCTTTATATTTCTGTTCAAGAACTGCAGCAGAATCTTGAAATGCATCGATTGTAGCTATTATTGAGCCAAGATATTGTGAGACTTCTGTTTTAAAATTCTCTTGGCATTTTTGGATCATTTCAGTTAATAATTCCGAAATTCGCTGTGCTAATCCCGTTTCTATTAGCTTGTCTTCAATCCTCTTTGTATTGTATAAGCAAATACCGAATGATCTTGAAAATCCTCGAGCTTGGACGTCCGGAACAATCAAATTGAAACATGCGAAGTAGATATTTTCGTACGATGAATAAAAGTATGATGTTGCGCTATCGAGTGGATTATAATCTTGCGTGATTGGAGTTGAAACGATGTACCATAAAAATCCATCATCGAAAGAATCGCTTAAATCATATTTATATTGGCTGACAATGCGCGGTTCTGATCCCTGACGAAATTCGAATATGAAATATGAAAGCATAACCTGTGGATTATCATTAAAATTATCACTCAAAGGCATTTTTGTCAGATTGCGAAATTCTGATATGAAAAGTATTTACTGCAAAAAATGATGACTCGAATGAAATTTTATTTCTTCAAGATTTTCTATATTTTCAAATCTTCCTATACCGTATTATGGTGGCCGTTTCTGGTTGAAAAACCCAAAATCTGGGAAAGGTTCTTGGGGAAAAAATAATCTTGTAAAAAAAATCCGGCCTCCGGCGGCAGCGCTAGCCCTTCGGGCGCGTCGCCACCTCCGGCCATGAATAACACAAAGTTAAAGTCATACAATATGTAATATGCCCTATATTATTTTTCCTTTTTCTTTCTTTTCCTCCTTCTCCCTTCTATTTTTCTTTTGCATTTCGGGGTTTTACTTTATTTGTTGATTTCTTCATGATATTTTGAATTTTTTTTTCGAAATAATCAATAAATTTATAAAATAATTAGTTTAATAATTTTTCATTATCTAGGGATTTCACACCTCAAATATAACACTTTTTTAAAGCAGATAAAATTCCATTATTGAATTTGTTATCGATTGATCATGTTTTATTATGATCATTTTATTTTAATCTTTAAGTTAATGTATAATCCAGATTTAGAGAAGTAATTATAGATAAAAGAATGAAATTAATATGTGAATTTGCTTCTGAATCATCAATAGAAAGAACACTTTGGAGATCAATCAAAATCTACAAAATGTGAGACTCATTCCAATTTTAGAAAAAAAAACATTTCAACCTTCTAAATTTCTGACACTCCTACTTCAGTTTGTTCCAGTCAAGCATACCATCATTCATTTTTGCTTACTAATATAAGCAAAAGGTACATTCACTGGGCGCGTAAAGGGTTGGCGTCCTAAGGCGTCCTGATGTAAACTATTCAATTTTTGAGAAGTTTACACCATAATTGAATAGTTTATGGCGTCCTGAGAGGAGATTTCAATGGGTATGGCGTCCTAAAAAATAGAAGAAAATGATTTTTTCTCGATTTTTCTAGAAATTGAATTTTTTAAAAAGAAAAAATCAAAACGTATACATTCAAGAAAGACTATAAATGAAGATTTTTCTATTTTTTTCATTCTAAAACATCTTTTTTTGGATAATTTTTTTTTAATAAATATGTAAGAAAGATTGAAGAAAAAAGTAAATTTACTTTAAGAAAATTCGTTTTACATGATGTAAGACCCATAACAACTATAAATATTCAATTATTTAAAATAAAAAAAGAAAAACAGATTAAATGTATCTCACATCAAAATCCATTGACCTAAGGATGTTAAGTTTCTGTTTTTAAAAGTTGATATTTTTTTTTAATTTTAAGAAAATTAATAGCATGTTATTAGACAATAGGAGTGTAATGATATTGACTAAACAGAAATGAGAGAATAGAGATATAATTTTGATAAGCAATATTGCGAACAAATTCTGAAGTAAAATCGCGATCAATAATTGAAAATTACGATCATGTACTGAAAAATGACGATCGAATTGAATGAATAGAATTATATCTAAGAAAAAATAAATTGTATTTAGAAGATGAACAAAGAAAGGTGTATGCTAAAAATCATTTAACAATAAATGGAAATAAAACGAAATTGTTAAAAGAAAAAATGAAAATTGTTAAATAATATATTATTTTTTAGTCATAAGAATAAAAATATAGTAGTTATAAAAGGAATTAGACTTCATATATCAATTCTTTTTCTCTGTAGATGTGGAACGTTTGCTTTTCGATCTCTTTCGATGAACTTGAAAATATAAGTTATTATCGCTGAGAATCCTTTCCGAAATAGGAGCTTTACGTTTAGGAGGATTGTCGGATGAATTTTGTTTTTTATTGTTTGATTTTGTTGTTATGGAAGATTTTTCTTATTTTTTTCAGAATTTTGCTTGCTATTAACTGAAACTTGTTTTGACGGCCCAACAATAGCATTTGTAGTAGGAAGAATTCCCAATAACGAGCGCATTTTCGATAATTGTTTTTCAATATGATCAAGAAGGTCCAGCTTATGTTCTAGATTACTAGACATTTGATTTGTAGAAGGATGGTTTTGATTTTCTGGTTCTAAATCTGTAGAGTCTGCAATATTTGAATTTTCGGAGCGAATTGGAGCATCTGAACCTTGATTTGTATCGGCTTGCTCAAAATTAGTTTGAATTGGAGTGGATGAATTAAAATCTGGATGATTTAATGTTTCATTAAATAATGCCATAATTTTTTCTCTTTTTTCATTAATAAACTTAGTGATCATTGTATCTTTATCTGTTAGATCGATCGATTTGAGTATATCTGCATCATGAACTGGAATATTTTCGAACAATGAACTCGATTCTATGGAACCATATGGAGAAATCTCGTTCTGAGCCAAAGAAAGATCACTTACGTTGTATTGTTTGATAGAAAAAATTGTTTTCTCAAGTTCTTTTTGAAAGCAGTCAAGAATATAATTTTTGTAGCTATCAGTGATAACGGTTTTTATATGGCGCTCGATCTTCTGGTTATTTTTGATGGCGTTATATTTATCTAATTGGATTTGAGATATCTTCTTAATAGCTTCATAAATGTTTGGATGTTTTAACGAAGAAAATTCTGAATGCATACTCTCGAGGCAATCATTAGTGAATATTGCAGTTGCATTATTATATTGAGATATTAAATTGTAGTGCGGCAACCAAACTTTGTTGAAATAATAGTTAGTATACATATCTTCAGTACGGTGGCACTGCGCGCCATCTTACCGAAGACATATCAATCTGACACTTTACAAAACCACTAACGTATATTTTACATCGCAGATGCAATATTTCTAATAACCTTAAACTATTTCTGCCACGTAAAGTATTTATCACATGAACCACCTCATCTCACCTCTCTGTACGTTATATATTGTGCGCAGGTCATTGCCCATGGCAACTCCCCGCGACACAATGCACGTGCATGAAAAAATAAACGTTCTCACTAACGTTCTCACTAACGTTCTCACTAACTTAACCTTAAATATTTACAAAGCCGCCAACCACTTCACTAACGAACTCACTAATGTAAAAAATAAACGTTCTCACTAACGACTTTACTAACGACTTCACTAACGACTTCACACGTATGAAAACATAGCGCAAAAATAAACTTAGGGTAGAAGGTTAGATCTACCCTCATTTCTACCCTCTTTTCTACCCTGTTGAATTCATTGCTTTATAACTCTCTTCCTTGGTTTCTTTTTAGTTGCTTTCTTCACGTCTGTCTCCAACTTGACTGTCTTTCTTCTTCGGCCGTAATGATACCAGTTACTTCCACCAGTCAATGGGTCAAATGGTCTTTCGTAAGGGTTTCCATACATTCCATAGGGACCATACGGAAGAACTACTGGTGGAGAAGAAACATTTTCTTTAGTTCCATCGACTCTATTTAAATGCATTGTTTCACCTTTCATCTGGTCATTAAAGTCTTTTGCGTGTTTTGCAAACTCATCGTCCTTTCCTAAAGCATTTTCTGACTCAGTCGCAACCAAATTGGATGCTTTATTTATGAGCCCTATTTTATTTAATCTTAACTTCTTTGCAACCCAGCCTCCAATCTTCCCTTTATTTGCATCTAATGTCTTCGAAAACCTTCCTCCACTCATTTTATTTACTGCGTCATAAGCTCCAAGTGCTTTTGCTCCAAATGCTAATGCTTTTGTTCCCATTGCGCCTAAAGCTGCCCAAGCTACCATTTACACCATATTAAAATCATCTCTCTTCAATATTATCTCATAAAAGTTCTCGTTACTGGAGAAAGTCAATGAAACATAAGCGTTCTCACGGGCTTCGCCCTCACCGCTTTGCGGTCTATCTAACTTCTTTCTTATATCATCTATACGCTTCAAAATGTCTGAACAATTGCTAACATCTTCTACAACAGTTATTTCATCATGAATGACCTTCAAGAACAAGCTCATTTAATATGCTATTAAAATCATCTCAATAATGAGTCCATCCTTTCCGTCTTTTGGTAGCACAACATCTTTCATTGAAGAAGGTTCGACAAGTCTTATGTTAAACTTACTGACAAAGTTTGTTATACTATAATGCTTCGGCGGCGAATACATGTAGTTTGAAAGACATAATATAGATTCTTCAGCAAATTCACTTATACTGGATTTTATAACAATGTTCTCACGAGACCAAATACCACCAATTGACAATCTTGTAAGCAATCCTGCTGAACCTTCTACTGTAAATGTCGATGGTAACATTCCACGAAGGTCATCTATTGACATCGTTGAGTCACTGTATTTAAATATTTTCTTAAAGCAATCGTCATTATATAACCATGCAATAGCTTTGAAGTTTTCATTCGAATATACATCTGCTTCATTAAATGTAAAACCTGACTTCTTTGCAGAGATGACTTTAAAATCTATTGAGTTTGTTTCAAAATTATATGCTATGGTAACTTCTGAAGGTAATGGATGTCCTTCCGCAGTCAGTTGTTCTCTCACTACCGTTTGAAGCTTTGTATTAAAAACTTTCATGTCATCTCCTGTATCTAAGTTCACATACACAGCAACAGGGAAACTATCTTGCTTCTTTGTTTCATCATTATACCTCAAAACATTAAAGTTCTTCAATAATATTGTTCTTCCTGCTGGAATACTTCGAACCTGTCTGATTTCAATAGCTTTCTCACCTCCTACATATTCTACCCAGTGTCTTGGATATTCATAAGTATACTGACTTTCTTGAATTTTGGTTGGTTTCATCATAACATGTTCATAGTATATCTTTATACTCTTGTCAGTTAGACTCGGTGCTATGTTCTGAATATTTCTGACTTGCATTTTTAATGGAGATAAAATGAAGCATTTAATACATGACGTAGATGAAGACATGAATGAAACTACAGACAAACTTAACTCTTCTCTTATTCTTCCTTTCAGCAAAGATTATGAGTTCTGTTCAAATGGTGTGTATTTCTATTGTGGAAAGATGGGTTCAGGTAAGACATTTAATTTAATTCGTCATATACTCATAACAGAGCGTTTAGGAAACGACTCTTACTATGACCAAATCATTATATCAGCAACTTCAGACTCTATGGACTCAACAGCGAAAACATTTATGTCAAAAGTTCAAGCCTCTGTCGTTAAAGTTCCAGATAGCGAACTCATTGAATTTCTTCAACGTTACATTCGACGTAAGAGGAAATATTATGCCATCGTTGAATTTATACAGTCAGGAATGCAAAAGACTTCTGAGGAGATGGAAAGAATTATTGACAAACACCACTTACGTCAATACTCAGGAGTTTACGATATGAAACGACTTACAAACTACATTCTGTCAAAACTTTCAAAATACCCCTTCAAAAAATATCCATCAAACACTTTATTAGTTTGTGACGACTTCGCTGGTAAAGGTTTAGTTTCAAAGCCTGACTCACCATTAGCTAACATCATTACTAAAGTCAGACATTACCACTTAACTGTAGCAATACTTATGCAAACATGGAGGTTTTTAGCTTTAAACATAAAACGTCTCATAACTGACTTCGTTATCTTTCAAGGTTTCTCACGTTATGATATTGAACTCATTTGGAAACAGTCAGGTATAACATTACCTTTTGAAGAAATTTGGGAAGCATATAAGTCTCTCATCTCTCCTCGTTCATACCTTGAGATTCATATCATGACTAATACCATTAAAGTCAAAAATATTCCATGGGAACGACCAACATTATTTTAAAGTTTAACCTTCAATTGACTGATGGTAAACAAATTCCATGCATCTCTGTCGCCATTTCTGTTAATATTTTTGCTGTCATTCATATCATCCACTTCCCCATCCGTTAGCTTTTGAGGATATGCGTTAGAATAGCTGTTCTTAAATGAAGGCTTTTCACCTTTGAGAGCATAAACTCTATAACTTTCTGCATACTTTATGTTTGAACCTCCTGAGCCATCATTGACATAAATTTTTATAGGCTTCCACCCTTTGTTCATGTTCCTGCTTCTTCCCTTTGCTCTTTTGTTCAGTAGTTCTACATCTTTATACACAGCTCCTGTCTCAGTGAATTCAACAATATTTTCATTCGTTAGCTTTACATTCAAACCCTTGTCGAGTATATTGTTCATTTCATACATATAAAAGGTTTTTATTCTATATGAAATGAGAAGCAAATCCATCTTAGCTGGTGTCGTTAATGTTCCAATTGAACCAACATCAAATGTTGACTCACGAACGACAAACAATATTGTCATAAAGAACTATAGTTCAGAGTGTTTGAAAGAAAAAGAACCAGAACTTAAGTCGGGACCTTCGGTCTTGGAGCATGGCGCCGTGAATTTAAACACAGCTTCAAACACTAACGCTACATCAGATGTTAAGTTAGAGTATCCACCACTGGATCAAATTCTTTCAAGAGAAGCCAACGACAACCCTTACACAAATGTTCAAACAAATCCTTCAGATAACGTAGACCATTCTTCTTCAGTTATACCAAACAATTTTACTCAAAGACGATAAGAAGCTTTTGACAAATCTTATAAGTAAGAACCAAATAATTCTAACAAAGGAGGACCTTGAAAATGTTATCTCACGAATAACAGGGAAACAATGTGTCATTGACTATCTCGACCCTGAAATCGAATGCTGTGGTCAAACTCCACTATTCATGAAAATAGGTAACATCCGCATCATTGAAACACCAGGAACTACAGGAGTTGAGTTTAAGTATAAATATTCGAACGAGTATACAAAACTATCTACTGACTATAAGCTTTGTTTGAAATATGTTTTAGTAAATTAAAGCAGTCAGGAGGGCTCTTTGAGCCCATCTTGGCGCTTTGCGCCGTCAGTCAAAAAAATTTCAAGTTAACAACTTATAGTATCTGTCCAAAACTTCTTCAACACTATTGAACTCATCTTCATAATGCAAACCTAATCTTATTGACTTGGTGCAGTTTTCACTAACACAATATTTTTCTTTCTTGACTGACATAACTAACTCATTTGTTTCATCAAACAGCAACAACCAAAGTTCATGACCTAATACATAACATTCATACTTTATATTTTTAGCTCTGAGTTCTCTTGTAAGCTGTTTGCATTTAAATATTTTCTAAAAAAGTCAACTTCAACAGTCATTCGCACTGGTGCCTTCAGTTCTACAGGCTCTCCTTGAAAGTCAACAAGTCTGAATTGCATGTCTTTCAAATTATGAGGACTAATGCGAACCCATTTACCTAAATGATTGCTATGACAGGAACGTTTGGAATGAACATTGAATTGACTGCATAACAGAAGGATTTATATTCTACTGAACCTTTACTATTAACTCCTGAAATGCCTGTGACATTAGCTATTTTAGACTCAATGTATAAACAATTACCATAACATACGTATGGAACAGATTTCATCTCTCGTTTTGTCAACACTTTTCAAAGAAATGTCATATGGTATGCACCCAAAAGAAAGTTGTACTCTATGACTCATTCGTGTTATCTTAAACTCCTTCTCGCTGCTGAACTTCAATGTTCCCTCAGAAGAGAGTTCGACATCTATGTTGTCCAATAGTTTCTTCATTTATGAGAGCATTTAACACTCCAGCAATTTTATCTATTCTATACCCAGCTCTGTTAGGAAATGTTATAACACTTCTTTTGTCATCTATTTCAATCTCTATGAAATCTGTTTCATCTGTTATGACAAAATGTTGCGATAGTATTGAAGTCAACAACTCTGAAAGCAAGCGCTTCATTCTGAAGACCTAAGTTTGTTTGTAGCTTTACTGTCCCGTATTCGTTTGGGTCTGTACTTTGCAAAGAGAACAACATTTTATTCTCATTAAAATATGACTATTGCTGCATATGCGTATGAAACAAATGAAGCAAGAAGAGCACATGAACTAGTAAACGAAAACTCAACTTTAACCATTGAAGGCAATGATTTAGTCATTGACGATGGAAAAACTAAAAAAGTCATTGATTTCGATACTTTTAAACACTTATGACCCATTCATTACAATAAGTAAAGTTCCTATCATAAATGATGGAACGGTGCAATATATAAATTCTACAGTAGATGCCTCATTAGTGAAAGTATTAAATCATCATTGAATTGTTAAAGAGCTTTCCGATTTGACGACCATTAAATGCCTAAAGAATTTAGTCATGAATGAGAAACAAATTCTCGGCGTTGCTGGTAGCAGTAATGATGTACACCTTATGACATTAAATATTATAACGAACATAAAGATGAACTGAAAGGAGAGAAGGGTGACACTGGACCTCAAGGACCACAAGGAATACAAGGAATACAAGGAATACAAGGACCTCAAGGCGAAAACGGTTTTGGATGGTGAAGATGGAAAGGATGGAAAAACTGCTAAATCATGGATATGGAACCTTATAAATACTGGTTTAACAGCTGCTTCATATGGAGTTCTTCAATACCAAATCGGAAAGATATGGGCAGTACTTGGTGAAGAAGTTTTAGATGACGTTAAAAATGCTTTGAACTTCATTTCAAATGGTTCGGATACTATTAAAACTTTATCTGGTTGGATGCAAGAAACAAGGAGTCAAATAGATACTGTAAGACGTATAGCAAACAATGCACGTACGGGATTGGATACTTTACGAGAAGCACAAAATACACTAAAGGAAGCAAATGATATTCTTGGCTCAGTATCAGACATGCATGAAGATTGGCTTAAAGGTATTGACAAATCTTTAAAAAATCACAGTCAGTCTATTGCTGACTACAAGAAAAGTATAGATTTTTTACATAGTGCTATGGACGTACATGATGGAAGCATAAGGAACTTACTTAATGCTAACAATAACTTACCAGGAACTATTAAAGCATTTATAAAGTCCTTTGTAAAACCTGGTGCTCTAACATTTAGGTCTTTGAGAGCAAGAGCATTGAAGTCAAGAGATGCAGAAACTCCAACAGAACTACAGAAGGAACTGAAACAACAGAAACTCCAGAAGAACCACCAAAACCAACAGCTAATGAAATATTGTTCGAATATTTTCCAAGGTACTCTGTTCTCATTGCATACATTCAAGAAATACTTAAGAAAGCAGACTTGACTTTAGGAGATGATGAAAGTTCTGTATATCTTTCGTTCCAGTTTCAAATAGCAGAACTTTTGAGACAGATATGCTTAATGTATGACAACATCTCTGATTTCACAAGATATGATGACGACCATGACCCCGAACACGGTGAAGAAGAAGTTTTACAAACATCCATTAAGACAGGAAAGGTTTTAACTCAAAGTCTCATTATTGACACCAAAGATGGCGAAGTGGACGTTCTTCAAGAGCTGAAGAAAAATACTTCTTCGGGAGGTGGTGGTAGGCATGAACTTGAAATAAATGAGATAGAAGAGAAATTAGCCGAAAAAGCAGATAAAAACCATGTTCATTATATAACTTCAGACGAACAGATTATAACGGACTACCATGGATATTTAACACAGGATGAACAAATAAGCACTGAAGATGTTAATGAATGAAGATATAAATTCATTCGTGCTAAAGGTTATGACATACACTGTACTGTACAGTATGACACAGGTAAAGCACCAGAAGCATTTGGTTATAACAATGAAATTTATGCTTCATACTTCTTTGTTAACGGTGTATTAGTTGAACCAAGATTTACTTTCACATATACGACTGACTTATATAAACAGAACCTTGCACCATTTAAAGATTTGACATATGCTCCAAAGTATTGTGTACAACTGAAGAAGAAAGCCGAGTCAAAAGAAGTAAATAAAAATAAGTGCAAGTTCATTCCTGAGCACGTTTTCTTTGCTGACTTTGAGTGTAGCACAGACGGCTTTCATAAAGCTTTTAACATATGTTACGACAGTGAAGATGGTTCAGTGAGTGAAAGCATTTGGGGTCAGAACTGTGCAACAGAATTTTTGGAACGACTTCCTGACAAGAGTTTAATATATTTCCATAACCTCAGTTATGATATAAACTTCATCTTAAGACACATGACAGAAGTGAAAGGAACTCCCATCATTAAAGGTTCACGAACAATGCAAATAACTGGCTTTATAAAGGAAGGGCAATTATTATAAAAGACTCTTACAGTGTTATAAATAAGAAGCTTAAACTATTTCCTGCTATGTTTAACTTACAAACAGGACGAAAGAAGTATTTCCATATAACTACTACAGCAGTACTTTGTTAGCAAATGACAACAGAACTGGTGTCATTTCTGAAGCATGTAAGTTTATCCGGGATGCAGATACATTCATGAAAAACATGATTCCATCAAAGGTTGCAGAATAGATGAAAACCACTTCGACTTAGAAAAGTATAGCACATTTTATTGCAAACAAGATGTAAGAATTTTAAGAGAAGGTTTTGTTAAGTTCCGCAATGACATATTGAAAGAATTTGTTTTAAAACGTTTATGACTACGTTAGTATTTGTTCAATTGCTAACAAATTATTTGAGAACAGAGTGTACTTCCGAATGGAAATTTATATGACCTCTCAAATAAACCAAGAGAATTTATTTCACGCTGTATTCAAGGTGGAAGATGTATGTTGTCAGATAATATTAAACAAAAGAGCGAAAAGAAACTCATTGCTGACTTCGACGCTGTTTCATTATATCCATTAGCTATAGCAAGACTTTATACTTTAGAAGGTATTCCAAAGGTTATGAAGAAAGAAATGTTAAGCACAGAGTATCTCATGAGACATTTATTCGATGACGACCAAAAGGAACCCATTGGTGAAAAGTTTATGTCTGGCTTCTTTGTTCTCATTAAGATAACAGAGATTGGAATACATAGACACTTTCCTTTAATAGTTTGTGACCCTGAACTAAATCCAGAACTTAACGTTCCCAGAAGTTCAAACACTTGCTGTTTAATGTATGTTGACCATATAACATTACAAGACCTCATAAATATCAAGGTGTCAAATGTGAAGTGTTGCAAGGATACTATTACGATGGAAACAGAGATATTAGAATAAGAGATGAAGTAAAGAAGTTGTTTGAGTTAAGGTTAAAGTATAAGAAAGAAGGAAATCCTTTGCAAGAAAATATAAAGCTCATTCTGAACAGTATTTATGGCAAAACTATTCTATCTCCTATTGAGTCAAAAATAACCATAGTAAATGACAAAGATGCTATAAGATATGCCATCAGAAATTACAACCATATAGTGAAGTTCGAAGGTTTGGATGGTTCAGATAAAACTATTTTCAAGCTAACGAAAAGCATTTGCAGACACTTTAACTTCTGTCCACTTGGTGTTAACATTCTGTCTATGTCGAAGAGAATAATGTGTGAAGTATTCTGTACTGCTGAAGATATGGGAATGGACATCTTTTATAGCGATACGGACAGTATGCATCTCTACAATGAAGATATCCCTCGTTTAGCTGAAGAGTTTGAGAAACGTTATGGAAGAGTTCTCATTGGTAAAAACCTTGGTCAATTTATAGCGACTTTGCAGAAATCACAAAAGATAAACAAAGTTTA